ACCCAGGTGCCCCTTTGACTATAAGATTATTTGAAAAGATGCCGACATGGCTTGGTCATCCCAGACTCAGGTTGTCCCCACTTCATACTTCGTTTAAGAATCTGCTCTTGGGGGGCACCTGGGTGGCTCAGTGGGTTAAAGCCTCTGCCTTCGGCTCAGGTCATGATCCCAGGATCCTGGGATCGAGCCCCGCATCGGACTCTCTGCTCTGTGGGGAGTCTGCTTCCCTCTCTCTCTGCCTGCCTCTCTGCCTACTTGTGATCTCTCTGTCAGATAAAATAAGTAAAATCTTTAAAAAAAAAAAAGAATCTGCTCTTGGGGGTGCCTACTTGTGATCTCTCTCCCTCCCTCTCTCTCTCTCTCTGTCAAATAAATAAATAAAAATTTAATTAAAAAAAAAAAAGATTCTGCTCTTGGAGAGAGGTTCCCAAGACTACCTTCTCTAAAACAGCAACCCCACACGACTCTCTTCTCATGCTCTGCTTTGTTTTTCTTTGGAGCACTTTTCTCCCATCACCTGATGCTCTCCTGTGGGAATATAAATGCCATAAAAACAGGAATTCTGTTTTGTTCACTGTTGTATCCATCCCTGTTGCCCAGCAAGCACATAGTAGGCACTCAGTATTTTCGGAAGGTTATCATGAAGGTTAGAAATTGTGCCAGATATCCTGTGGGATATAAATACACATTAGAAATGGATTTAGCCCTGTGTACGCAGATAGCTAAAGCACAAGATGGGTTCAGACGGTCTGAGAACTTCAGCAAATAGGCTGTGGGTATTTTAGTGGCTTATTACTTCTAGCTGGCTTCGTAGGAAATGACATTTAAGCTGCGTCTTCTTTCAGACTGGGGAACCAGATCAGCAGAGGCTCAGAGGTGGGAAAGTGAGTAAGGGCGGTATGTATAAGAAAAGATGACATATTCAGTTTGGCTAGAATATATTCCTGACAAAGAAAGAAGTCAGGTAGAAAGGTAGGTTAGATCCAGGGCAGTGGAAAGTCTTCAGATCAAAGCTGAGTTTGGGTTTTGTCCCGCTGGCACTGTGGAAATTGTTATTTTCCCTCCTGAAAGGGCAGTTAGTAGGTTATGTGTCTGCCTCCAGCTCATGGCCTTAATCCTGGCTCCCTGCTCAGCGGGGAGTCTGCTTCCCCTCTACACCTGACCACATTTTTGCTCATGTGTGCGTGGGCGCGCGCGCGCTCTCTCTCTCTCTCTCTCTCATATAAATAAATAAATAATTTTTAAAAAGGGCAATTATATGGCATGATTGGACCTGTAGAGGAGGAGATTGAAGACCCAAGTCTGTTTTTATTATTATTAGATGTTTTATTTTAATCCAGTATGTTAGCAAAGTGTTAAATTAATCTCAGATGTACAGCGCAGTGATTCAGAGTTCTGTACCTGATTCGGCGCTCACCACCATAAGTGCACTCTGAATCCCTTTACCTTGTCCACCCCTCCCCCCACCCAGCGCCCCTCTGGCAGCCACCAGTTTGTTCTCTAGAGTTAAGAGTCTTTTTCTTGTTTTGTAGGTCTCTTTCTTTATTTTCCTTTGCTCGTTTGTTTCTTAAATTCCACATATGAGTGAAATCACCGGGTATTTGTTTTTCTCTGACTGACTGACTTCACTTGGCATTATCCTCTCTAGTTCCATCCATGTTGTTGCAAATGGCAAAATCTCACTTTTTATGGCTGAGTAACATTTCGTGGACATACATATATACACCACATCTTCTTTATCCATTCATCTGGACAGTTGAGCTGCTTCCTTGGTTTAGCTATTGTAAATAGTGCTGCGGTAACCATAGAGGTGTGTGTGTGTTTATAGTTTTTGGGTTAAGAACCGGTAGTGTGATTACTGGATTGTAGGTCAGTTCTGTTTTTAACTTTCTGAGGAGCCTCCGTACTGTTTTCCACAGTGACTGTTCCAGTTCAGTTCTAGTGAACACCCTCACCAACACCTGTTGTTTGTTGTGTTGTTGATTTTAACCATTCTGTCAGGTGAGAGGTGATGTCTTGTGATGAGTGATGGTGTGTGTGTCGAAAGACTGAAGTTTGAATTGTAGGGTAGGTGGGGGAAGGTAGCAAGGAACTTATATTAGAATAATAATATAATTTCGGGTGCCTGGGTGGCTCAGTGGGTTAAAGGCTCTGCCTTCGGCTCAGGTCATGATCCCAGGGTCCTGGGATTGAGCCCCACATCGGGCTCTCTGCTTGGCGGGGAGCCTGCTTCCCCTCTCTCTCTGCCTGCCTCTCTGCATACTTATGATCTCTCTCTCTCTCTCTCTCTGCATCAATTAAATAAATAAATAAATAATCTTTAAAAAAATATTTTTAAAGTGGGAAGACAACAGCAGTCAGCAAATTGACAAATAAATCCGATACGGAGAATAAGGGAAATGGAAGAAACCAAGATGACTTTAAGGTTTTGAATTTGTGAGAAGTAAGATGGTGTTGTCATTAAAGAGAACATGAAGTAAGAACAGATTTGAGAAGGAAGATTAATTTAATTTTGAACATGTTGCTCTGAGGTGCTAGCATTTGAATGGAGGAATGTTGGTTGGCAGTTGGAGAGCTACCAAGGCTTGAGATTTGGGAATCGCTTGCAGGGTAGTTTCTGAAGCTTGAGAATGTGAAGGAAGAGTTAGGAGAGCACATGGAAAAAGAAAGGAAAGTGGCGGAGAACATATTCTTGGGAAATAACTGTTAAGAGAACAGGAGGAGAACCAAGCGAGGATAGGAGTCCAGAAAAAGGTCTGTGGTAACCTTGAGAGTGTGATATATATCTTTTTGGTCATATCACACATTGTTCTATACTGTTTAGCATAGTTCTTTCTTTTTTAAAAATATTTAAGTGATCTCTGCCTCCACTGAGGGGCTCAAAATCATGACCCTGAGATCAAGAGTCACAGGGTCTACTTACTCAACTAGCCAGGTGCCCCATTCTGTGATATATTCTTGGTCTTTCTGCTTTTTGTTTCTTTTTTGATAAAATAGCAAAAGTTCTAACAAGCCATAATTGAAGGATCTCAAAGTGTGAGGAGGACAATGGTTAAAGGAGCTTAGGGATTGGATAAGTGCTTGTCTTAGTATCTCACACTTGATCTACATGGCATAGGAATTATTTTAGACTGTCTTCAAAGAATATATTATCACTTTTGTAGTGCTTTCAGAAAACAAATCGGAAACTAGAAAGAATAACTTGCTAAAGTGCAAGAAGACAGATCTTAGAACTGAAGCTGATTTGTTGAAAGCTGACTGGAAAGATTTCAGTAGCATTTTGCACAAGAATCAGGGCTAGGAAGACTTGGTGTCTTTGGTGCAGCATTTTATTTAGCAAAAAAGAGAACAATCTCTCCGTGAAAGAATTTTTAGGTACTCAAATTTGATCACGAATTGACTTGAAATTTTATAATCTACTTAAGAGAAGAATAGACTTTTGAATATAAAAATACTAATGATTGGGACAAGGTGAAAATAAGTACAGATGGTAGCTGGTTTGGTGTATAACAGTATCTAAAGCATCTATCTTACTCTGTGTGGCAGCACATTAAAGATAAGATAATCTGATTAAAGGACATACCTCAAAGTAGAGGCATCATCCGGTGTGTTAAATTGGTACTATGTGGCATCTTTTTTTTATTGAATTATAGTTGACACAGAATGTTACATTAATTTCAAGTGTACAACATAGTGATTCGATAACTCTCCATTATTCTCTGTGGCATCTTTATGAGGTTATTAGAGTAAAGCTCACTAATGGATAAAGCATGCAGTAGCATATGCACGCAGGTAGAAATTGTCACATGGTTTGGATACTAGCATTCCAGTTTTGGTATAGGAAGAACTGTTTTGGTAAAACTTAACCTCTTTAAGGTCTGATTTAAGTGAAAATACTTGTTAGGTCTGGATATTCAAATTGAAAATTGTAATTTATTAATTTATTTTTTAATTTGGATGAGTGATATGATTAGCTTTAAAATCCAGAATAGTGGGGATCCTGGGTGGCTCAGCTAGTTAAGTGTCTGCCTTCGGCTCAGGTCGTGAACCCCAGGGTCCTGGGATTGAGCCCCGCATGTGGGGCTCTCTGCTCAGCCTGGAGCCTGCTCCCCCCCACCCCCCCACGGTCCTCTGCCTACTTGTGATCTCTGTCAAATAAATAAATAAAAAATCTTTAAAAAAAAAATCCAGAGTAGCTTATGCAAAGCAGAAATAGTATATTTTGCTTTTTTAATATTTCCTTTCTTTTGTTTGTGAATGATTATTTTTTTTTAAAGATTTTATTTATTTATTTGGCAGACAGAGATGACAGGTAGGCAGAGCAGCAGGCAGAGAGAGGAGGAAGTCGGCTCCCTGCTGAGCAGAGAGCCCAGTGCCGGGATGCAGGGCTCCTGGCTCGATCCCAGGACCCTGGGATCATGACCTGAGCTGAAAGCAGAGGCTTTAACCCACTGAGCCACCAAGGCACCCCAGTGAATGATGACGTTAATGTACAAGTTTGCACCTTTATTTGTTGAGTCATTGTATCTGTGTCATCCTCAAAAAGTAGATTTGTTCATGTTAGTTAATACTCAGAGGTATTAGACTTGATTAACCTGAGATTGAAAGCCTTAAAATATATTATTGTTAAATTTTCGATTTACTATAGGACATCTTTTTGAATGCGGGGAGTAGGAGTGGACCTAGTGAATGCAACAGTCTTCCCTGTGTTATATCTGCATCTTTCATATGATGTTAGGACAAAAACAGTGTCTGAAGCCCTTCTTTGAACAAAGATAAAAATGAGAGTATTTAATAGTGTCAACAGCACATTCCTTCCTGTCTTCTTAACTAGTTTTATGTATCTTTGAATAATATTTGCCAGAAAGTATATTTGAAGAGGTTCTTTGTAAATGTGTGTTCATGTTCATATTAATTACATACCTGATATGGTGAATTCAGCACATTTAAAATAGAAGTAATTTTATGTGTTTAATTATTGGACTTCTGATCATTTGTAGGCGAAACTTAACCAAACTTTCCCTGATCTTCAGCCACATGCTGGCAGAACTAAAAGGAATCTTTCCGAGTGGACTCTTTCAAGGAGACACATTTCGGATTACGAAAGCAGATGCTGCAGAATTTTGGAGGAAAGCTTTTGGGGAAAAGTAAGTCTCAAAATAATGAATTTGGTTTTTTTGTTTGTTTTGTTTATGTGTTTGTTTCTTAAGTAGGCTTCCAGCATGGAGCCCATTGTGGGTCTGGAACTCACAAATGCTGAGATCAGGCCCTGCGCTGAGACCCCAGAAGTCAGACCCAGAAGTCAGACGCTTAACCACTGAGCTACCCATGTGCCCCTCAAAATAATGAATTTGAACTGTGAAGAGCTAAAGCTTATGTTGTGGCCTTCTGCTTAATATTTTTTTGATGTTTTAACTTTTTTTTTTTTTTTAAGATTTTATTTATTTATTTGACAGAGAGAGAGAGATCACAAGTAGGCAGAGAGGCAGGCAGAGAGAGGGGGAAGCAGGCTCCCCGCTGAGCAGAGAGCCCAACGTGGGGCTCGATCCCAGGACCCTGCTATCATGACCCGAGCCGAAGGCAGAGGCTTCAACCCACTGAGCCACCCAGGTGCCCCCCTTTTTTTTTTTTTTTAAAGTAAACTGTAGCCTCAGTGCGAGGCTCGAAATCACAACCCCAGCATCAAGAGTTGCATGGTCTACCAAGTGAGCCCGCTGGGTGCCCCTGTTTATTTTTTTAATTAATGAAATAATTATATCATGGGAAAGCATAAAGAAAAATAATGAATGTATATGTACAGTAGGCCCCCCCTTATTGGCAGTTTTACTTTTCGTGGTTTCAGACACCTGAGGTCACCTGAGGTCAGCTGTAGTCCAGAAGCTGATGGTCTTCCTGGTGTATTAGCACAATGTCAGTAGTAGCCTAACACTGTCGCAGTGCTTGCGTCCTTCCCCTCACTCCATCTCCTCAATGTAGGCATCTTATCTCATCCTGACTAGAAGGGTGTCTACAGCACTGAGATGCTGTGAGAGAAAACCCACATTCATGTAACTTTCATTACAGTATATTGGTTATAATTGTTCTATTTTGTTATTGTTGTTGTCTTACTGTGCCTAAATTATAAATTAAACTTCATCATAGGTGCGTGTATAGAAAAAACCCCAGTATATGTAGGGTTTGGTACTATCTGCCTTTGCAGCCATCCATTGAGGATTTTGCAAAGTATCCCTTGCAGATAAGGGGGGCATATTGTACCTACCTCCCCATGTTTTGGAGGTTCTTTTTTTTCTTTTTCCCCTGTGTTTTGTTTTGTTTTGTTTTGTTTTGTTTTTTTAAAGAAATCTTTGCAGATTCAACTGATACACAGGCTCTTATATTGAATATTTGTCTGTCTCTCTCCCCATCCATTCCGCTGTTAATAGATGTTTATGTTTCACATTCTTTGCGCTCACAAACTGTGCCACAGTGAACAAAATTATTTTTGTCTTCATATGCAAGAGCTTCTTCACAGTTACATGCCTAGGAGTGAAATAGCTGAATCAGGGAGTTTCATGTCCTCTGCTTTGCCAGATATTGCCTAATTGCTTTGCCCCAAAGTGGTTATACCAGTTTATATCCCTGTAAGTAGTCTACACAAATTCCATAGCTCTACAGTTGGGCTAACACAGGTAGTGTGACTTGGGTATCATATTTTGCTTTCTATTCCTAATGACAAAGGAGATTGAGCATCTTTTCACAGTTATGACCAGTTGGGATTCTTACTCTGACTTGCCTGTTCCTCTTCCTAACTTGTCCATTTCTCTACTGAGTAACTTGTCTTTTTCCTATTGAAAGACACTGATTGTTAGTTACCTTACGTTACAAATATCTTCTAGTCTGTGGCTAGTTTTCTACTTTGTCATATTATCTTTTGTTGTATAGAAGTTTTAAATTATATAGACAGATTTATGTGTTACACTTATGCTTTTAAGTATTAATATAAATGTTCTTGTATAGCTTATGAAATTTTGGATCAAGGAACTGAAAAAAAAAAAACAGCAATACAGCTTTTTAGTTGTATATACAGATCCTAATATAAATTTCCCTTTAGATGCCGCCTTCTTAAAAATATGCTTAAATGTAAAATATAGAATAATCGGTGATTTAAAAACTTTGTTAAAGAGGATGGGAATAAATTTAACTTTGTTCCTTTTAACTTAATAACTCCATTAAAAGAGTTCAAAATGCCACTTTATCTCTTAATTTCTAGGCAGTGAGTACATAAACTTTTTAGTCAGTGAGCTTGTGTTTACATAAAGATCTTGAGAAATAGAAATCCCATAGTATCTTGTGCTAGCCTTATCTGGAGTTTAATCACTCTTACATTAATAATTTATTCCTCCTCCCTATCAGAACTGTGTTCTTCCTGTGTCTTAAGCCTATTTCCTCCTATCTAGGCCTTGAGATTATGAGTTCCTCAAAGAACTCAGTATGTTTTATATGCTTTTAAAAAGTTAGTTTAAATGTAAGCTTTTAAGTTAGTGAAGGCCTGGCCTCAGATGACATTTATATAAAAAGAGTAATCTCTCTTTCCATGTTTCTTTAAAGAGAACAGCTGTGTGAAGAAAGATGAGAAAGGGAATTAGTTTATGACATATTGCCAAAGAATAGTAGGAAAAGATTTCTCTATTACTAATTTCCTTATTAGAAAGTTAAGAAATATATTATTTATTCCCTTTCTGTTCTCAATCCAAAATATAACTTAACTTCTTTAAGAGAATTGAAATTGATATTGTGACCTTAATGTGGCTTTCTTGGTTATTATGGCAGTGCACAGCATTGTCTCTTTCCTCACTCTGCCTTCCCTTTCACCCCTGCTCCCCCATCTAGGACAATAGTCCCTTGGAAGAGTTTCCGACAGGCCCTTCACGAAGTGCATCCCATCAGCTCCGGGCTCGAGGCCATGGCTCTGAAATCCACTATTGATCTGACCTGCAATGATTATATTTCAGTTTTTGAATTTGACATCTTTACACGACTCTTTCAGGTAGGATACTAAAATGTTGGCTAAACTAGTTGCTTCTTTCCTAAAGGGAGAGCTCTTTAAAAAAATAACATTTGGAAGTTTACATATTGTACAAAATTATTTTTTTTTAGGATTTATTTATTTATTCGACAGAGATTACAAGTAGGCAGAGAGAGAGGAGGAAGCAGGCTCCCCACTGAGCAGAGAGCCGGATGCGGGGCTCGATCCCAGGACCCTGGGACCACAAGGCTTTAACCCACTGAGCCACCCAGGCACCCCTGTACAAAAGTATTTTTAGTCAGTATAGAAATTATAAGCAAAAAAACCTCACTACTCAGTTTTTATCTATTTATTGTTAAACACAATAACTATATAATGTGCTTTCTTCTCCTCACATTTATAATCTCTCTTTTAAATATTCTTTGCATCGTTTAAATCATTGTAGAATGCCCAGAAAATGGGTGTAATCTGATCTATTTAATCAGTTTCCTATTGTTGGACATTTATGTACATTTCCAGCTTTTTCTCCTATTGTATTGAAATTCTTGACTGTTATTATTAACGTGCATTGATGCTTCAGAAAGAGCTCATTTCTTTCTCTCTCTAAAGATAATATGTGTATGCCAAGTGGTATCAGCCTTTATTTGCAACTTCTTAGTTGTACACATGGGCCCTGCTGTTGGTTAGAACTTCTGTAAAATGTCTTGAATTTCATTTTATAATGAAATTTCTTTCTACAAGCATATATTTGTTTCTTCTTAGCTTTTCTGAGTTCTTACGTCTCAAATGTATTTCTCTCAAAGTAACCATATAATTGAAAATTTGTGACAATGAATGGAGAATTGAGGTGGTTTTCTTTCTGTTCTTCCTTGCTCTGAGGACATGGGATGTCCTGAGCTAAGTGGTCTGATCGAGCTCTTGTTCCCTTAGCCCTGGTCCTCTTTGCTCAGGAACTGGAACAGTCTTGCCGTAACTCATCCTGGTTACATGGCTTTCCTGACATACGATGAAGTAAAAGCTCGGCTCCAGAAGTTCATTCACAAACCAGGCAGGTCAGTGCTGGGAAGCAAAGGTGTTTATTCTCCTGAATTCTATGCTTTTGTGACCTCTGCCAGGATAGAGGAAATGTGATCTTGGATTAGTTTCCCAGTGGCTCCGTTGCTGCACTGGGATTGATGTCTGTTTACCAGAAGAATTGACTTATTCAGATCTTAGGATTTGATAAATGCTTTCAAGCCACTTAAGAATTGAACTTATGTATTTTTTGCTTTTGGTCTGGAGTCACTGTAGAATCTATTATTGATGATCCGTTTGATTTTTGTCTCTGTCTTGCCTTCCACCCTAACAAAAGCATATAAAATGTTCTGTTCATCTCTGTTCTCAGTTACATTTTCCGGCTGAGTTGCACTCGTCTGGGTCAGTGGGCTATTGGGTATGTCACTGCTGATGGGAACATTCTACAGACGATCCCTCACAATAAACCTCTCTTCCAAGCCCTGATTGACGGCTTCAGGGAAGGCTTGTGAGTATCTGCTGTTTGCCCCTCGCTGGAATACAGGAATTTAGGGGTTATAAAACTTAATCGTCAGTGACTTGATTCCAGGTGTCTTCAGGACTGAACATTCAAGAAACACATTAACAGGTTGTATTATTTTAACCTTCAGGTTCTGTAGGACTTTTGTTGTTATTTAAAAGGATTCTTTGAGTGAAATGATTTTTCTCTAGTGCTTTAGTTATTACCATGTGTAAACTGTATCTTTTTCCTTTTCCAGATGTTAACTTATTTCCCAATCTATATTTGAAAATACGCCAATTATCAGGAAATGTTACCAGTTATTTAACTAACCCACATTAGAGTGCTTAGATGTTTTTAATAAGAACAGGCTCAGTGGCCTTCATATGCTCTAAGCATTTTGGTTTGGCAGTATTTCTTCAGGCTTTGGGCTTTTGTAATCTCTGCTAATATTGATAAGTAAGTTCTTACTTATTCCAGAATGCTATTCCTTTGGGAACGCAAACTGATTATCGCTTGGTAGGCACTAAAAATACTAGCACTTGACCAGCTGTCAGAAAGCTACTTGTGTTTTAAAGCAACGAGGAGAGTCCATTTTCTGCGCCAGCGTTGGGGCTGAAGGGGGTGCTTCCCCACACATCAGAGCAGGCCGGCACTCCGGGCTTCCTGGTAGCTGGTCTCATGGGCTTCCTTTGCTTCTTGTTACATTTCTTTTGAATTGTTGTCTTTCCATGTTAAATACCTGGTAAACAAGGGCATTTTAGGCCTTTGGTCAAAAACAGATGGTGCTTAAATTAAGAATGTGGGGACACCGACGTAACTCAGTGGTTAAGTGTCCAACTCTTGATCTCAGCTCAGGTCTTGATCTCAGGGTCGTGACATCGAGCCTTGTGTCAGGCTACACGCTGGGTGTGGAGCCTACTTAAAATAAAAATAAATTAATAATTTGTATTTTATGGCTATCCATAGATTAAAATAGGGGTTGGGCCAACTATGGCCCATCAGCTAGCTGTTGCAGTATGGCCTGGAACTAAGATGGGTTTTCCTTTTTAAAGGGTTACTTTAAACAATAATAACCAAAGAATATAGGACACATACTTCTGTGGCTTGCAAAGTCTAAAATATTTATCGTGTGGCCCTTTACAGAAAAAGTTTGTCAGCCACTTAGTTTAAAGATAAAGCCTGTGGCCTTGTGCCCTAGAGAAGGAGTATCATTGTTTGGAGAATATCTTCTTGGAACTGTTCTGTGTTACTTATTTTTTGAAGTATTTATCTTTGGTAAATACAAAGATTTACCTTTGTACCTTATGCAAAGTAGCCTATTTATGTATTTGAGAGAGTGTGCATGAGCTGTGGGAGGGGCCGAGGGGGAAAGAGCATCTCAAGCGGACTCCTGTGCTGAGTGCAAAGCTGATGGTGCAGGGCTCAGTCTCCCCACGCTGAGGTCATGATGTGAACTGGAATCAGGGGTTGGACGTTTAACTGACAGAGCAACCCAGATGCCCCCACAGTTGCCCTTTTAAAGATTTTTTTTTTTTTTTTTTTGACAGAGATCACAGGTAGGCAGAGAGGCAGGCAGAGAGAGAGAGAGGGAGGAAGCAGGCTCCCAGCTGAGCAGAGATCCTGATGCGGGGCTCAATCCCAGTACCCGGGATCATGACCAACCCACTGAGCCACCCAGGCACCCCAACATAGTTGCCCTTTTAGATGAGAGAATGCCCAGCTACTATTTTGTCTGCATTAGCCAGCAGTTATAAATTGTCTTTTTAGTAAAACCCCAAGGCCGGTTACTCTTTTTACAGCTATCTGTTTCCAGATGGACGGAATCAGAATCCCGACCTGACAGGCTTATGTGAACCAACTCCCCAAGACCACATCAAAGTGACCCAGGTGAATTTTGTTTTACCTCCTCACCGGTCTCTGGAGGCAAGCTTTTGTCCTCGACACAATTCATGGTAGAGCAGTATGGAGTGATTGGAACACTTAGGTTTTAAACCATCGACTAGCCTAGTGGATTTATGTGTGTGTAGTTTCTCTAAAGAACTTGAAATAGGACCAAGACCGTGTGCTTTCTGTGTTGGTGAGAGAATGGTGACCACTGTTGGGGCACTTCCATAGAAGCCAAATTTGTGGGGGGAGTAGCAGTCTGGTTTTCCTGGTGTCAGTTGAAGGTTGAGGTCATTCATTCATTCGACAGATACCGCAGTCAGCTGAGTAGTCTCTTCAATTTCTCTTTATTAAAGGAACAATATGAATTATACTGTGAGATGGGCTCCACCTTCCAGCTGTGTAAAATATGCGCTGAAAACGACAAGGATGTGAAAATTGAGCCCTGTGGACATCTCATGTGCACGTCCTGTCTCACGTCCTGGCAGGTATGGCTCTAGACCGTGTGTTCCGCTGTGTAATCCTCGGAGGAACTGGGAGTTTTGTATCCTCTATGGAGAGAAAGGATGGTCTGGTTTGTGGGGGAGGTTTTAAGCTTCTGGTTTCTTTTTTCATCTTTAGGAAATGTATTTCCATATTGTCCATACTTACAGATGAGCCTTTGACCGTCTCCCGTTTGCTCTGCAGGAATCCGAAGGCCAGGGCTGTCCTTTCTGCCGATGTGAAATTAAAGGTACTGAGCCCATTGTGGTCGATCCGTTTGACCCTCGAGGAAGTGGCAGCCTACTGAGGCAAGGAGCCGAGGGAGCTCCCTCCCCAAATTATGAGGACGATGATGATGAGCGAGCTGATGATTCTCTCTTTATGATGAAGGAACTGGCTGGTGCGAAGGTGAGACTTCAGGTTCAGAGACTGGCAGACTCCACTGTGAGTTGTGTTCTAAAGGAATAGAGAGCATTTGATGACATCCAGACCACAGGAAGCAATAGTAGCTGACTATTTACTGAGCATTTACTATGTGAGAGATGCCATGCTGAGTATTTCCCTTTTTCTAACTCCTGTAATCCTGTCCTCGTATATACTCAAATAACCCAAGAGTAGGTACTCTTATTTTCATTTAGCAGATGAAGAAACCAGGGCACGGCAAGGTTAAGGAACTGGCTGAAAATTACATAGCTGTAGCCAGACGTTCTGGCTTCAAGGCTCATGCTTTGTGTCCTAGAACTGGGCTTTCCTCAGCTTGTTGGAGAGAATGAGAGGGGATAAGACAGTGAGGTCCTCTTGCGCTTCTCTGAGTAGGTCTGGTGTTCTGGTGTTCTTTCCTGCGGGTCCTGGCACTAGAAAGTTAGATTGCAGAGGGGAGGGGCACTGTTAGTAACCAAGGACATGGAGACCAAAGTGACTGGAGGGTGGCAGAGGAGGTACCAGGTAGAAGCTAAGCAAACTGGAAAGGCCCTAGTAAAGAGAGGAAACATACAAACTAAGAAAGATGGGATCAAATTTTGTAACATTGGTGGGTAGGGTATCACAGGGATCTGCTAACTAATTAGAAGGAAGGGAGTCCTTTGAAGATGGTAAGCAATACAGGGCAAACAGAAGATTCTAATGTGCTTTTGATTCTCTAGTTGAGGATTTTTATATAAATTTATATAAGGGCAGCCTTCTTTTATAATAGTACCTTACTGCCTGACACATGGTAGATGGAAAGAATGAATTTGGGGAGGCCCCTGGGTGGCTCAGTTGGTTGAGAATCTGACTTGATTTCAGCTCAGGTCATGATCTTGGGGTCCTTGGCTCAAGCCCAGCTTTAGGCTCCATGCTCAGTGGGGAGTCTGTTTGGTATTCTCGCTCGCTCTCTCCCTTGGACCTACCACCCACGCCCCCAGGAAAAGGAATAGATTTGATCTCTTAAATGATTGATCCATGTGTCTCCTCCTCTCTGTCCTCAGTGCCACTGCCCTATTTCAGGCCGTCATCATCGTCTCTTTGCCCCGCTGCCAGCACCGGAGAGCTCAGCGCAAACCTGACCATCCCATTCCTTTGCCTCATACTCTGATGACTTCTCGCTACTTAATGGGTTAAGCAATTCTCCTTTCCTCCAGCACTTTGCCCTTAAAATCCTTTTTGCTTTATGTTTTGTGGTTCAGCAAGGCCAAACCACTAAAATCTCTTTGTGCTTTTGTCTTGGTAGTTTCTTTTTTCTTTTTTTAAAGAATTTTAAAATTTCTTTCAGAGAGGGAGCTTGTGAGCAAGGGAAGGAGCAGAGGGGGAGGGACAAGCAGACTCCCTACTGAGTGGGGCTCAATCCCAGGACCCTGAGATCATGACCTGAGCCGAAGCTAAGGGCAACTGAACCATTCAGGTGCCCCTGTCTTGGTAGTTTCTTCATAAGTTAGTTGAGTTTTCATTTCCTAGGACGCCTTTCCAGACTGTTCCTGCTTCCCCCACCCCCAGTTCCCGTGTGTTTACATACACATAATTTCTAGGTCTACCCAGGTGTCTCTGAGACACTGAGTATGTCTGCCATAGATCTTACTACCTCATAATATCTTATTAAATGTATTTTCTGGTATATTATAAATTATAGAAGGCAAGAGCCATGTCTCATTTGTAATTTACTATTCAAAATTGAGCACATAGCAATTACGTTGAATGTTTAGAAATTGAAACAACTTTAGTATAGGAGTTAATAAATCTGTGCTTTATCAATAGCAGGTAGTTAAGGAAGACTGGAATGAGCAGTACATTTTTGGTTTTTTGAAGTGGACAGATTTTTTAGTTTTGGCCCCTTATAACAGGTTCTTTGGGTCCATTTTAAGAGATAAGTTTGAGGGACACCTGGGTGACTCAGTTAAGCGTCTGCCTCTGGCTCAGGTCATGATCCTGGGGTCCTGGAATCAAGTCCCACGTCGGGCTCCCTGCCCAGCGGGGAGTCTGCTTCTGCCTTTCCATTCACCGCTCTCTCCTCATGCTGTCTCTCTCTCTGTCTCTCAAATAAATAAATAATTTAAAAAGAGATTAATTTGATCTCTAAAGCAGTTTTATATGTTCTTACATAGATTTCTTCTGTTCAGTGTTGAAAATCTATTGGTAACTCCTGGAGTATTAGGGAAGCTGAATACTAAGATAAGTGATTTTTCCTGGCTATATTTATTTGAAATTAAAATTACCCTTTTCTCTTCATGAAATTCTATAGATGAATAATACTTATTGTGGAGAAACAGGCATCGCATTCAGTGTTGATGTGGGTACAGATTAGCCCATCTTTTGGAAGGACAGTTTGACATCTATCAAAATGCATAATGGTCACAGTTTGAACTAGCAATTCCAATTCTAAGGATTTATCCTAAAGAAATCCTCAGATAAGCACCCAAAGATACAGATCCAGTTCTTATAGCATTATTTGCAGTAATGAAAAATTCGAATCAACTCACATGTCCAGCAGTTAGAAATTATGATACACCCATGTGTTTGTATTCTGTTGCTGCCATAACAAATTACTACAAATTTAGCAGCTTAAAGCAACACAAGTTTATTCTGTTACAGTGTTGAAGGTCAGAAGCCCAACACGTGTGCCCTCTAGCTAGATCAGGGTAGATGCAGGTCTGTAGTTCTTCCTGTAGGCCCTAGGGGAAAACCCAGTTCCTTTTCTATTTGGATTTGGCAGTGTTTAGTTGCTTGCCAGCTGTAGGATTGAGATCCCCATGTCCTTGCTGGCTGTCTGCTCAGGGTATCCCAGCTTCTAATGGTCAGCCACACTCTTTGGCTCCTGGATTTCTTTCTTCTTCCTTCTGCCTTCTCTCTGAGGTTCTCTGCTGTTAAGTACTCATGTGGGATGTGAGGGTGGTATGGCTGCAACATCTGTCACCCCACTGATCACCAGGGTTGATTTGGCCGATCTGGCTGGTGAGGCGGGTGTCCCCTTCCTCCCTCACAGCTCCATGTGCGTCTCTCCCAAAGCTGCATGCTTGGTTGAAGAGGACGACCTTCCCCAATAGAGGAGAGGACTGGTCTTCGGTTGGGGTATACGAGTAGCTGTACTCCACTGCTAGAACCTTCAAACAAGCTCTCAAGGACTCATGTGATTAGATTGGGCCTATCCAGATAGTCCAGGATAATTCCCCCATCTCAAGATCCGTACCTTCAGTCACATTAGCGAAGTCCTTTTTACCAAGTAAAATGACATGTTCAGTTTCTGGGTTTCAGGGTGTGAATAAACATCTTGGGGCTGGGGGATGGGGAATCCTCATTCTGCCTGCTACAGTCCCCATAATGGAATGCTCTGCAGAATGAGTTCGGTGTACGTATACTTACGTCAAAAATTGCCTAATACTAAATTTAAAAAATAATTGTATATTATGTGTAGTATCACCTTATTTCTCTTTAAAAAAAAAAAAGTTTTTTTAACATGCATAGGGGAATAATTGACTACCCACGGAATTGCTGTAATGTTTGAGGGCACAAGTTTCGAGGACTTGGACTTTATGGGGATATTTGAGGGTTTTACAGCAAGGTGTCCATTATGCTGGGTAAGAGGCTCTTTATTGGGTGCTGTAAGTATTGAGTGAGATAAGAAACCTGAAACAAAGGCAGCGAGGAGCTAGTGGTTGTATTTGAGAAGAGAGCGTGTGTGCGGGTGGAATAGTTTACCACAGGCAGATAGTGTGCGCTGTTGTAGATGTTGGGTCCACACTCTAAGTGCTGTAGGGCTGTAAAGAAAAGAAAAGGAACTCTTTTCCCATAGCTGATCTGTATGAATGATTTTAAATTTACTCATTTAAATAAAAGTCATAAACGTACACTGGAGAAGTTCAAATACAGAAAAAAACAGCTTCGTGCATGGTGCTGTCGCTTGGCCATTCTGTAATTTTTTTAGTTTCTTAATGGACGTTCACATTATTTCCAGGCTTACACAGACTGATACTCTTTTCAGGTCTGTAGGTTAAATTCCTGGCAGTGGAACTGCTGGATGAAAGTGAATGTACATTTAAACTCTTTGATGGAGGAAAGGATATAATTAGGGAAGGGGCGATGGGAATTGCGCAAAGTCAGTGCTCTTGCATTTCTTAGTTTAGTAGGTGCTACGTGGGTGTCTATTATTCTTTGTATGAATTAAATTTGTTATAAAATATTTAACTTTTTTTTAGTAGATAACTAAAATTTATCCCCACTTTTTTTTTTTTTAAGGATTTTATTATTTATTTGACAGATCACAAGCAGGCAGAGAGAGGGGGAAGCAGGCTCCCCACCGAGCAGAGAGCCCGATGCTGGGCTTGATCCCAGGACTCTGGGATCATGACCTGAGCTGAAGGCAGAGGCTTAACCCACTGAGGCACCTAGGCGCCCCTGAGAGAAAACTTTTGAGACGTTTAATACCTTAGATATCTGTTCAGCCTTTAGACTGACTAGTTACCCAATGCTAGGTTGAAAAAAAAACTCTAAAAATTGTTATGGCTTCACTTCACTTCAGGTTCTAGTGTTTTTTTGCTATTTGGTACCCCCTTTCCCATTATCCAAGAAGCTTTTAGTTTATTCTCCTTATGCTTGATTCCTTGAAAACATAAGGGTGCTTTTGGTTTGTTTGCTTGTTTGTCATGTTTTTTTTTTCTTCATTGGGCTGGCTATGCAGTAAACCCTTTCTATATGGATATTTATGTCCCTTTGGTCATAGAACCATTCTTGTGGTATTTCTCTGATTATTTCCTCTCCACTTGTGCTTTTTATCTTTTTCTGCAACTTGATTATCTGCTGTAATAAAAGAACGGTGCAAGGATAGTTACGATGTTGAGCCACAAAGAGTGTAATTAGCTCAGCCCTCTGCACTTCAGGAAGGGGAACAAGCCATAGATGGTGAGAGGGGTTGTAGGCAGAGAGGGGCGCCTGGCTGGCTCAGTCAGTAGAACGTGCGACTCTTGTCTTGGGGTTGTGAGTTTGAGCCCCCCGTTGGGTTGAGTGTAGAGATCACTTAAAATCCTTAAAAAAAAAAAAAAAAAAAAAAAGGCAGAGAGGGCTTTTTTCCAGTTGGGAAACAACCTGAACAAAGGCAAGGAGGTAGGAATTGCAGAGTCAAGACTGGTAGGAGAGTGGGAGTTATGGATGGACAAGCTGTTGCATAGTGTGAGGACGGCTCAGCTGGTAATGGCAAGCAAACGGATTTGGTGAGATAAGAAACCAGAATTTGGGAGAATTGTGAGAAGGTGGTTTTAATAAATCAGATCTGAGGTTGGTAAGTAGAATGAAGAGGCAGATCGAGATATGAGACTCTCTCGGGGCACCTGGGTGGCTCAGTTGTTAAGTATCTGTCTTCAGCTTATGTCGTGATCCCAGGGTCCTGGAATCAAGCCCCGCATTGGGCTTCCTGCTCCGGGAGGGCCTGCTTCTCCCTTTGCCACTCCCCCTGCTTGTGAGGGCTTTCTTTGCCTTCATTTACCGCCCAGCACTAATGATAGGCCCAAGTATGTGAATGGGTATCTTTCTGTCATCTTACATAAGTGCTTGTAATACATATTTGCCTTTATTCCATCTGTATTGCTCCCTGGGAGAGAATGTAAATGCCAGGTAGCATTTTGTATGAATTATGCAGATCTCTTGATAGCTCGCCTGGACAAGCTTACCAGCCATTCATCACCCTGCTGCAGGCTTGGAAATAGGAGAGGTTATACATGTATTGCTTCGTCTAATTTGGCACCTCATTTTTTTAAGGACACAAATTGATGGGAAATATTAATTCCTTTAAATTACTGACTTGAAATAACACTTCTTCAGAAGGACTTGAGATGCTTTTTACTGGTTCTGTTGATTCTTTCCCTCTAAATGTCTTTTTTTCTTTTTTCTATTCTAACAAGCCAGAGAATTTCTCATCTTTGATCTCTCATTGTTCTGTGCCTTAAATGTTATCTCCCCACATGATTTGTTGAGAGGTTAATGTCTGCTCCTTCCTTTTTATAAGGGTTCCTCTTTTTGATCTTGAAAAGATTTTTTTCTTTCTCTGAAGAGGAGGAGGTGGAAAATTGTAATACTTGTTTTCAGTTGTGAGCTAGGGAGCTTCTTGTAGCAGAGCCATTTCTCCATACTTGCCTGTGGCTTGGATCTGCGTGGTAGTTCTGTGATTGAGAGCGCCCTCTTACGGTGACGCAAAAATAACTCAGGAAGCCTGACCCATTGGTTGTAACAGTGTTCAGAGTACTTGCTGTCTGCGCTTTAGGAGGAATTGAAAGATGCCACTCCCTCATACAAGAATAACCTATTGGGAAATTTTATGTGTGTCAGGTGGAACGGCCTCCTTCTCCGTTTTCGATGGCCCCACAAGCTTCCCTTCCCCCGGTGCCACCTCGACTTGACCTTCTGCAACAGCGGGTGTCTCTTCCTGCAAGTGCTTCTGGTCTTGGAACTGCTTCTAAGGTAAGATGTTACCCATTTCTACAGTCTTCTGATTCTTTGTTGTGGATTATAGCATTGTGGATTACAGTGGGGTTTTTTGGTTTTTTAGATAAGTAGATTTTGATTGATTTATTTTCCTCATGCTTCGCAGGTAGCTTCTGTCTCCCTTCATAAGGACAAACCATTACCAATACCTCCCACACTTCGAGATCTTCCACCACCACCCCCTCCAGACCGGCCATATTCTGTTGGAGCGGAATCCCGGCCGCAGAGACGTCCCTTGCCTTGTACACCGGGTGACTGTTCGTCCAGAGACAAACTGCCCCCTGTTCCCTGTGGCCGCCTTGGGGAATCATGGCTGCCTCGGCCAATCCCCAAAGTACCAGTGGTTGCCCCCAACTCTAGTGACCCCTGGACAGGTAGAGAATTAACCAACAGGCACTCACTCCCATTTTCATTGCCCTCACAAATGGAAACCAGAGCGGATGTGTCCAGGCTTGGAGGCACATTCAGTGTGGATACCTCCATGGTGAGTCCTGTTTCTGACATTTCTTTGCCTATTAACAAATACTTTTGCATGACGTTGAATGGGTCAGAGTTTTGTGATAGGTTTTGTGCAGGATTCTGAGACAGTGAAACATCCCTGTCCTCAGGCGTGTGTATATGTACCCTCAAGAAGTGTACTACTAGAGCAGATAAAGCGTGTTTGCCAATAATGCTGTAGGGACGCATGTGCACCTGCGTGTATGTGTGTATGTATGGCTGGATTCATATAGTGTGAGTATTATAAATAGAAAGCATTGAAGTTGTAGAGAAAGGAGAGATTATTTCCAAATAGAGCAATCATGAGGGCTTTATGGAACAAATGACATTTGAATTCAATGTGTTCTTTCCAAAGTGAGTAGTGTGAAGGTCACAAGTACAAGGACACAGATGCTTGGGGTATATTGTGGAACTAGAAGTAGTTTAATTTGAGTGGAGCAGAAGTTTTGTATGTCAGAGGAGGGAAGGTCTAGAAAGGGGCATTAGTACTAGATTGGAGGACCTTGAAAATCCCATCAAGGCCAAAAGAGTTTTAATTTATTTGGTAGGAGATGAGCACTTGAAGGTTTTAAATTAGGGGAATGACATGAGCAAAGTGATGGTTTACAGAGATAAATCCAGTAGTATGCAAAAATGGATTGCTAAGAGAGTAGATTGAGAGAAGGTTAGTGGTTCATTGTATAAGCATGAGATAAGGGTCCAGACCTGGGGGTGGGGAGGTTTATTTGTTCTTTTGTTGGTTCATATGTGTATGTGCTCCACAAAAAAAAATTCTGCCCTCACAAAGTTTACATTCTAATGGAGTAAAGACAAACATGGTAAGTTAATAAAACAAAGGACATTGGATGCTAATGAGAGCTATGGAGAAAAAGAGCAGAAAAAAAGGGGTATTGGGGCAGTTGATGTTGGGTCAGGGGTACATGGAGGGATGGGGTACAATTCTGAGCAAAGATCTGGAGTGCTGTTGAGAGCGAGCAGTGCTGATTCTGAGGGAGACCCTTCGAGGATGAAGGGGAGGCAGGTGAGTTTGGGTGACTATGGTGGGAAGTAAGCAAGGGGGAGAATGCGCTGGTGCACATTTCATTGACCTGCTTTCTCTTGTGTATGTGAGCAGTGTTATTTCTTATGTGCTACACAGATAGTTGAAGGTTAATTAGCAGTATTAACTACATAGTAATGCTGCCAGTCCCCTTCAGACAAATTAAAAAAGGGGGAGAAAAACCTGTGAGCAGTGAAGTTTGGAATATGGCGGAGCCCTCACGTGAACTGGGTGCTGCTGCTTGGTGGCGAGAGAAGGGGGATGGTCACTTCCAAGTGGCATTGAGTGACAGGCCGTCTAATTCATGAGAATGAATTAGGTCCGGCTTTCTGGTGACTGCAGAAAGAGGTGTTAGGTTTTTAAAGCTAGACAGGGTATGTGTATCGACAGCGCATTTCCTCAAATATTCTAGAGTCAAAACAAAACCCCCCATTTCCTTGGCTCTTTTTAGATCTCTGTCTTCCTCGCCCTGACATTTAAACTCTGTTCAGAGCCTGAAAGCAGCTCTGCTTTTGATCAGATGTAGTAACGTGTGAGTGGCATTGAGAGCGGGGTCTGGGTCTGTGTTACTGTTCTTAATATTTTGACGGGGTCGGAGAAGGAAGAGGAGACACTTGAGTCGTGTTAAGTAGGTTCTTTCTCACTTTTCTTTCCAGAATGTGAATAACAACCCATTAGCAGGTTCAGAGTGCGAGCACCCCAAAATCAAACCTTCTGCATCGGCCAATGCCATTTACTCTCTGGCAGCCCGGTAAGTACAAGGCGGCAGCCCGCACAGCGGACGCGCTCCCGCTGACCAACAGCCTCCGCACAGAGCGTAGGGAGCCCAGGGCGGCCTGAGGAAGAAAGTATAAGCTAATCTGTGTTTGTATCAGCTCAAAACTATATCCTATGTTTTGGTCTCCTCTTTTCTCTATGTCTGTGTACATGATCAGCCTTGCTGGGCTTAGTGATTTTATTAATCTTCTCAAAGAAGCAGTTTTGGTTTTGTTGACTTCTATAAAAAAAAAAAAAAAATCTTAATCATTCTTATAATTTTTAAGTTTGATTCTTAATTCTTAGTATGTATGGTAAAGTACACAAATACACCATCTTGGGGCACCCAGGTGGCTCAGTCGGTTAAGCGTCTTGACTCTTAGTTTCAGCTCGGGCCATGATCTCAGGGCTGTGCGATCGAGCCCTGTGCTGAGCTCTGCATGGGGCACGGAGTCTGCTTGGGATTCTCTCTCTCCCTCTGCCCCTCCCCACTCCCTTTCTCCCTCTCTAAAAATGTATACATATACCATCGTACTTAGAAGTGTACGGGTCAGTGGGATTAAGTGCTTTCACATTATGGAACCATCACCGTCATCCGTGCTCATAACTCTTCATCTTGTAAAACTGAAATCCTGCGCATACTGAGCAGTTGCTCCCTGTCCTTCCCTGCCCCGGCCCCTGCAGCCACCGTTACGCTTTGTCTTCAGGATTTTGACTACTTTAAATACCACCTGTAAGTGCAACCGTACAGTATTTGTCTTTCTGTGACTGGTTCAATTTACTTATTGTAATGTTCTCGTCCATGTTGTAGAACATGGCAGACTTTCCTTACTCTAAGGCAGAGTAATATTCCAGTTGTGCCCCCCCCTTATCTGCAGGGGGTACCTTTCAAGGCCCCCTGAATGCCCAAAACCAAGGATAGTACTGAACCCTATGTGTACACTGTGTTTTCTTTTCTAACATACATACATACATATATACGTACATACATGGTAAAGTTTAATTTATAAATTAGGCACGGTAAGAGATTAGCAACAACAATAATAAAATAGAACAGTTGGAACAGTTTGCTATAGAAGTTGTATGAACGTGGTTTTTCTCAGAATACCGTACTGTACTCCCCCTTCTCGTGGTCATGTGACATAAAGTGCCTCTGATAAGAAGAAGTGAGGGGGGTGATGTAGGCATTTGGACGTAGTATTAGGCTACTGTTGACCTTCTGATAATACATCAGAAGGAGGATCATCTGCTACCACACCACAGCTGACTATGGGTAAGTAAAACCACAGAAGATAAAATTGCAGATAAAGGGTGACTCCCGTACCATATTTTGCTTATCCGTTCATCGGTGGGTAGACACTGGGATGGCTTTCACGTTTTAGCTGTTGCAGTGATGCTGCTGTGAATGTGGGTGAACAGATACTGGTCAGGGCCCTACTTTCAATTCTTTTGAATATATACGCAGTAGTAGTAGTCCAGGATCCTATGGTAATTCTATTTTTAATTTTTTGAGACACCAGCATACTGTTTCCCATGCCCTTTTTGTGGCATCTTTAGGCTTTTCTGTATATGAGATCATATCATCTGCAAACAGGGAGATAATTTTTCTTCTTTTCCGATATGATTGCCTTTTATTTTTCTTGCCTTGTTGATCTGGTTAGACATTCTAGTACTGAGACATCTGGGTGGCTCGGTCGGTTAAGCGTCTGCCTTCTGCTCCAGTCACCCTGGGGTCCTGGGATCGAGTCCTGCATTTGGCTCCCTGCTCAGCGGGGAGCCTGCTTCTCCCTCTCCCTGCCGTTCCCCGTGCTTATGCTTGCTCTCTATCTGACAAATAAAATAAATAAAATCTAAAAAAACAAAGAGAAAAAAAAAGAAATTCCAGTACTCTTGAGTACTCAGGAATGGTGAGAGTGGACATGCTTGTCTTGTTCCTGATCCTTTGGGAAAAGCTTTCAGTCTTTCACCATTGCATATGATGCTTGCTGTGGGCGTTTCATATATGGCTTTCGTTATGTTTAGGTACTTTTATTCCTATTTTAGTTGAGTGTTTTTGTCTAAAAGGGTGTTAAATATTGTCAGATGCTTTTCTGCACCAACCGAGATGATTGTGTGGGTTTTTTTTCCCTTTTGTTGACCTGCTGTATTTATATTAATCCGCTTGCATTTGTTGAGCCATCCTTGCATTCCAGGTGTGAATCCCACTGATGTATAACGGTGCATAATCCTTCTTAAGTGCTGCTGAATTCTTTTTGCTGGTATTTTGTTGCGGACTTTTGCATCGGTGTTCATAAGAGACATTGGTGTGTTGTTTTCCTCTAGTGTCCTTGTCTGGCTTTGTGTCATGATTGTGCCATCCTCACAGAATGAGCTAGAAAGTGTTCCTTCTTCAGGTTTTTGGAGCAATTTGAAAAGAACTGGTGGCGTGCCTGCGTGGTCCATTGAGTTAGGCGTCAGCCTTCAGCTCAGGTCATGATCCCCCTGCTTGGTGGGAGCCTTCTTCTCCCTCTGCCTCCACTCCTGTGATTCTTGCTCTCTCTCTCGTTCTCTCTCTCCCAAGTAAATAAAGTCTTTCAAAAAAAGAATCGGTACTCGTTTTGTATTAAACACTTGGTCGCATTCACCAGAGAAGCTATTAGGTACGCGGCTTATTGTTGTTGGCAGGTTTTGGACTACTGAATTCATCTCCTATAAGTCTCTTCAAATTCTCAATTTTTTGTGATTTAGTCTTCGGAAGTATTGTGTTTCTAGGAATTTGTCCATTTAAGTTACACATTGTTTTGGCATATAACTATTCATAGTACTTTCTTAAAATCTTTTTTATTTCCTAGAATTGGTAGTAATGTCTCCACTTTAGTTTCTGAGTTTTAGTAATTGGAGTCTTCTCTCTTTTTTTCTTAATCCATCTAGATAATGACACGAAGATAATGATAATGACATCGTGACACAAAGCCAGACAAGTTTTATCAGTTTTGTTGCTCTTTCTGAAGAACTTTTGTTTTCATTGATTTTTCTCTGTTGTTGTGGGTTTTTTTTTTTCTCCTATGTATGTATTTATTTGACAGAGAGAGCGAGCGAGCACCAGTAGGCAGAGCAGCAGGCAGAGGGAGAAGCAGGCTCCCCGCTGAGCAGGGAGCCTGATGTGGGGCTCCATCCCAGGACCCTGAGATGATGACCTGAGCCGAAGGCAGTCGCCTCACCGACTGAGCCACCCAGGCGCCCCAGTTCCTGTATTTTATTTACTTCTGCTCTAGTCTTCATTGCTTCCTTCCTTCCATGAGCCTTGGTTTTGGTTGATTCTTTTCGTAGTTCCTTAAGTTGTAAAGTTAGGTTGGTTTGAGATCTTTTTTTATCTTTAATGGAACCATCAATGCTATAAATATAGCACTGCTTCAGGTTTTGTTGCACCGTGTTTTTGGTCTCATTCACCTCTAAGTGTTTTCTAATTTCCTTTGTAATTTCTTCTTTGATCCATTGGCTGTTTAAAAGTGTATTATTTGATTTTTACAATTTTGTAGAATTTTCAGTCTCACTTTTGTTACTGATTTCTAATTTGATGAGATTGTGGTCAGAGAAGACACTTTGCATGTCTTTTAAAATCTATTAAGACTTAATTTGTGGCCTCACATATTATCTGTCTAGAAACTGTCCCTGTGCACTTGAGAAGAACGTGTGCCACTGTTGAGTAGAGTGTCATGTCTATGTCTGTTAGAGCTGATCGGTTTATATGTTGTTTAAGTACTGTCTCCATGCTTCTGTCTGGCTGTTCTATCCATTACTGTGGGTGAGGTTCAGAAATTTCCGCCTATTGGGGCATCTGGGTGGTGCACTTGGTCAGGTGTCCAGCTCTTGGTTTCGGCTCAGGTCATGAGATCAAACCCCACATCAGTCTCCAAGCTCAGCACAGAGTCTACTTCAGGATTCTTCCTTCCTTCCCTTTCTCTCCCTCTGTCCCTCACCTCCCCGACCCCCATATGCACATGCTCACTCTCCCTCTTTTTCTCTCTCTCGAATATTTTTTAAAGTTCCTTTATTCAGTACATTATTATTTGATAGGTTGTCACCTGTTTTTTTTTTTAGTGTCATTAATAGTACCGTAGGGAATATTCTCGATTATTTTCTTAGAGAAAATTCTTAGTCGTGGAATTTCTGAGTCCAAGAGTATGCATGTTTGGTTATATATTTTGGGGGAATTACACTCCAGAAAAGTTGTACTAATTTCTTATTTCTAAAACTGTGTAAGAAAGTATCCATTTCCCTATATTTTCCCCAATACTTGGTATTTTTCCTTAATCTTTATAGGCATTTCCTTAATCTTTATAGGTATTTCCCACAAACAATTTATTATATGAAAAGTGTCAAGCATAGAGTCAGGGTGACAGATTTTCACCGTGACCATCCACATACTCCCCGCCTGGGTTCTACTGACAGCATTTTTTTATCCTTGTTTTTTTTTTTTTTTTTTTTTTAAAGATTTATTTATTTATTTGACAGAAATCACAAGGAGGCAGAAAGGCAGGCAGAGAGAGAGAAGGAAGCAGGCTCCCTGCTGAGCAGAGAGCCCGATGCAGGGCTTGATCCCAGGACCCTGGGATCATGACCTGAGGCAAAGGCAGAGGCTTTAACCCACTGAGCCACCCACTATCCTTGTTTTATCACTCATTTCTGTCTATCCTTTTTTTTCCCCTTTAATCTCTACACCCAGTGTGGGGCTCGAACCTACAACCCTGAGATTAACCATCACATGCTCCATGACTGAGCCCGCCAGGCACCGCTCTGTCTGTACTTCTGTCCATCCATAAGTCTATCTTTTTGGACACGTTTCAGAGTAAATTGTAGATACTAATACAGTTCCACCTGAAAACGTGAGCATGCCTTGTGCAAAGAAAGTAACGCGAGGACATGAGAAAAACAAAATCTCCGATTATGTTATAGGGATTGTCTGTGTTAGGTTTCCTTGGCATTTAAGTGTCTTATAATCAACTGCTGCTTTCATAATTGGGAAAAACAAACACTGAGTAAACACAGGCAAACCCCGTAGGTGCTCCCGCTAGTTACAGACTGCTTCAGATGCATGGGGACGGTGTAAAGGACACGGGGGAGATGCTCTCTTTAACTCACATTCCCGGTAGCCATTGTGTCTGTGTGCCTGTGTGTACGTGCGTGTTTCTCAATTTTGTGGATTTGTTTTGTGTTGTTTTCTTGTTATTTTTGTCTTTGTCTGGTTTCAGGGCAGGTAGTAGGAGAAATTTCAGTTCACAATTTCTGGGTGAGAGTTTGTACGCCCTTTGGGTATGACAGCGGGATCCCTGAAGCAGGAGTCAGGATGGGACATCTGGTCTCAGATCTGGTGTTAAGCTAGCAAGGCACCTGATCTCTTTTATTTCAGATGGTTCTTACATCAAACAAGGAGAAAAGATGTTTATACTATGAGATAACAAATGAGAAGGCTTTTGACAAACTGTAAACTCTCTGAAACTGTAGGTAGATTCTAGAGTGGGGACTCGGTACAGGTTCCTAGCATACGGGATGGGGACTCCCGACTTACCTGGGAACGGAGACTCATGAGTATCAAGTATTGCCCCCGTTTGCAGCCCAGCTCAGCGCAGCTACATCTGTGGTCAGCTGAGAGCAGAGATCTGTTAGTGCCATTTGTAACATCGACCGTTCTTGGCCGGGAGGAGTAGTAGTTCCCTAGGTGCCATCTGGTCACTCTATCGGATTTGAGTTGTGGCCTGGTTGAAGGCACTCATTTCATACTTGCACGTTTAGCAGCTTGTTAGTTTTCAGTTTCTTTCTCTTTTATTCTTCTTCTTCCAGGCCTCTTCCTGTGCCAAAGCTGCCCCCTGGGGAGCAGTGTGAAAGTGAGGAGGACACGGAGTATATGACCCCCTCCTCCAGGCCTCTGGGGCTTCCAAAGCCAGATGGGAAACGGCCTTTGGAGACCGCCCAGAGTTCACGGTACGTTCATGACAATCCCATCTGGGAGCGGGGGTGACACCACTCACCTGCTTGGCTGCGGCCTGTGTGATGTCACCGGCCGGAGTTAAAGCGGACGGTTGTATGCGGCCCCTAGTGTTTGGTCTCTTCCAGCTATAGGCGATCCCACTTACACTTCCTCACGGTCATGTTCATTTTAAAAACACTCATCTATTATGCATCGGAAGAGTCAGTCTTGGGACATTTGTTAGTGATCCTGGCAAAAGGAGTATGTGTTGTCCTGATAGACTCTGGGTCTAGAATAGTGAAGACCAGATGAGTGTTAATAAGTTTGCAGGTAACAGAGTTCTGTTGTGAAGATCATCTGCCCCGTTCCTTCTGCTTCAGAGCGTGTGACTGTGACCAGCCGATTGATAGCTGTACATACGAAGCAATGTATAATATTCAGTCCCAGGCGACGCCATCAGCCACAGAGAGCAGCTCCTTTGGTAAGTAGCTGTCCTGCCACTTGGAAGATCAGTGCTGTGTCATAGGAATGAACCTGTAATATTTGGCTATTTGGGGCAGCTTGATCTTAGCAAAAACTTCTTTTAAATAATTTCCTTTGCAAAATATCTTTGATCCATGGGCAGCAAAATCCTCTCCTCTCTTTCATTTCCTGTTCCCACAGCGAGTTCCCTTTTCATCCTTTCAGGGCCTAGAGACATTTGGAGTTATGGGGCCTGGGTGCTGACATTTCCCTTTTATTTCCTTTGCTTTTTAGCGTTGATGAAATTCTTTTGTGTGTGGGTGGTGAACACTCTATTCCCATATCAACTAGCTTCCCAAGTGGAAAGTCCAAGAAGGCAGCACACACAGGCTCTTCAGCTGGTGCTCCAAGGTGACATGTCGATAGCGATGTTGAACCAGTGCCATAAAATGGCTCTGAGTCTCTGGCGTCAGCGGCCATCACCGTTGGCAGGGGTAGCCGTTGCCCCGTCCAGGAGAGCAGAGCTTCGGGATTGGCACAGACTGCATTTTCTCTGTTCTTTTATCTCCAGCCTCAGGGCTTCACATGGTGGTTGGCCTGGGGTAGAGAGTCGGTAACTTTGATGGGTTTCTCTCCACGAGCTGTATTAGCGCACGGGTGTGTAAGAAGGTGGTGACAGCACACACTTTTTTCTCTAGGGGAAGGGAGTCTGGCTGCGGGCCATGGGGGTGCCGGCCCCGAGGGATCAGAAAATGAGGAAGACGGCTATGACGTCCCTAAGCCGCCGGTGCCGGCTGTGCTGGCCCGCCGGACCCTCTCCGACATCTCTAACGCCAGCTCCTCTTTTGGCTGGTTGTCTCTGGAAGGCGAGCCCACCACACGTGAGTCTCCAGGCCGGCTTGAGTTTGTGCTATGGCAGAGGTGACTGCTGGGCCACAGAGCCTTTGTCACCAGATTTTAGTTTCTTTAGTCTAAGTGGGAGGAAGAGCTGGTCCGGGGTCCTGGTTAAGAAGTTAAACTGGAGACCGATTTTTCAGGATTCTGCCAGGCTTAAGAGGTTGTTCCTTAAACCCTGGCCCCTCTTGGCTGGTGGGAAGTAGGGCTTCCGGTTCTTCCGAGCATGTATTAGGACACTGGTAATGAAGCCTGATGGTACAGAGCACGCATTCCTGACTTCTGGACCCTGTTGCGTTGCCAGGAGGGCATGCAGGCTCTGGAAAGCACACTGAGCGGGCTTGGAGCCAGGCTGCACTTGGGCCTTGACCGTCAAGGTCTGCCCTCGCACCTGTGCCTGCCTGGAAGGGCAGCACCCAGGGTTGCTGTCCTGCTGGAAACTGAAGCCCGAGCTCAGGACAGCTGGCGAAAGAGAGACAACATCCAGCTGCCCAGGGAGGAGGTGACCCCACCCACCCAGCCTTGCTTCCTGCTGCTCAGCGGCAGCTCAGGCTTCCTTCTCTTCTCCTCCTTTGTCAGAGGAGACGTTTAGCGTCCTCTCTGGCCCCATCTGAAACGTTATTTTCAATCGTCCCAGCACTACTGTGCATGAACACTTGTTACAAAATGTGTAAAGCACGATGATGTAGATAGAGGTGTCTGAACTCGGGGCAGCAGTGTCCCTATCAGTGGAGCAGGCGGATGGTATATTTAGAAGGTGGCTCCTGCCAGGAGGGAGGAGGAGGTGGAGGTTAGCTGCTACAACCCTGGAACCTGTAGAGTCTGGCCCTTTGAGAGCCCAAGTACCCTGTTGCAGTAGGTCAGCTCAATCCTAGGACACTGTTCTTACTGCCTTTAAAGGGTGGCTCCCCCCAGATTTGCACCTCTTTTCTGTTTGATTTCTTCTAGATTTCACCGAGGGTTCCCAAGTTCCTGAAAGGCCTCCCAAGCCGTTCCCTCGGCGAATCAACTCAGAACGGAAAGCAGGCAGCTGTCAGCCGGGTGCCGCCGCCGCCACCGCCGCCGCCTCCTCACCACAGCTCTCCAGTGAGATCGAGAGCCTCATGAGCCAGGGCTACTCCTACCAGGACATTCAGAAGGCCCTGGTCATTGCCCACAACAACATCGAAATGGCCAAGAACATCCTCCGGGAATTTGTTTCTATCTCGTCTCCTGCCCACGTCGCCACCTAGCAGAGCCCTCCCCGCTGCGGCGTCAGGACCAGTGAGCCGGGCGCTGTCCCCCGGGCGGCCCCTCAGAGGGCAGAGGTTCCTCCGGAGACTTCACAGTGAAGTCTGGCCCTCTCTGTGGGATTCCACATCTGTGGTTCCAAGATTTCAAAACAGTGGAATGAACGTGGAGCAGCTAGTGTGTTTTACTTTGTTTGTTTTGAGAGTGGATTTGAAGGTGTCCTTCAGTCCCCAATTAGAGTGTGGATTTTTATTAAATGGTAGCCTACTGGGGGAACAGTCCAGAAAGCGGTGGGAGAAGTATTGTGCTGTAAATCCTCATGGGGGACTTAAGACTTCCCTGGGTTAAGGAGTGCTTGTGCGTGTGTGTGTGTCTGTCTGTCTGTGGTGGCGTGTGTCCTGTGATTATAAGATGAGCCTGCTGTGTGTGTTAATCCTGGGCAGGGAATTAGCACAAGAGACGTAGGAAGGAATGGTCCAGAGACCTCCCTCTACTGTGGTGTGAGACCCCGCCCTGGTGTGTAGTACGGCGCCCTCGAGCTCCCCTGTGGCTTGAATTACCGTGCGCACAGCTCGAGTCTTGTATTTTTAGAACACCCTCCCTCTGTCCTTTCCCCTGTCTCTGCCTCCTCCTCCTTGGTGTCTGTCGTTGGCCGCGGGCTTGCTCCGACCAGCCTCACTGAAGCCCAGTGGCTTTCAGGATGTTCCTGATTATGTGTGATGGTGTTGGTTTGTTTGGTGGATAGACGGGGCAAGGAAAAGTACTGTTGCTGCATCATCACAGTCCTGTGTGATCCTAGCGGCTAACACTGGTCACTCCAAAGCACTGTTTCCATAGGAACGTTGATTCTGTGACAATGAGATGTTTTAATTATCCTAATGACGTAATGACTGATCTGAGATAGAGGCCTTCAGATACATTCCATGCCCTCCCCAGAAGACCGTCTGTGGGAGTCCGTTGCCTTCCTGCCAGGTGTGTGTTCTCATGTAGGTCACGGGCGTTTATCCTTACTGGGAAGGGAAGAACATTTGTTTGCAGCCTGGCTTTCTGGCCTGAAGGCCACCAAACTTTGAGGAGCTTCCTTTTCATGCTCTTGTTATGCAGAAGATGGACAAAATAGATAGGACTCATCGGTTTGGTTTTTCTTCCCAGTGAGTCAGTTCCAGCTTGTGTGGGCACCTCCCTCGGAACGTGAGCCAGGTTATACTTTCAGAAGAGGCTTTTGTCCTTGCCCTTGAAGGGGAGGGGATGGCACCCATGGTAGCACAGCATTTTGCTGGTAATTAGCACCAGTCCTCCCCTGGCACCACCAACGATGTGGTTTTCTCTTGTGCCTGTGGCTTTGGGAACGGAGCATCTCTTCCCCTCTTCTCGCCACACTGGTCCTCTGTGCTCTTCACAGACCGCATTCTCCATAGTAATGACAGGTTCCGAAGTGCGACGAACACCTTCGCAGGGGTCAGAGATGGGGCGAAAAGCCCACCAGCTGGTGTGCGTGTGGGTTTGTGAGGAAGATTCGGAGTCCAGCGTCGGGGGGCCGTGAATCGGTTCTGGTAAGGTACTGCGAAATGAGCCCCGGTCAGCCAGTGCTCTGGCCGGTCTTTGCTGAATTCCCTAGCAGGCCGTACCCTCCTGCGCAGCAGAAGCAAACCTACTCTTTGATACATCTGCCCTCCTCTAAGTCTAAATCATGCTTTTGTCTTTAGATCCAGACAGAAATGAGTCTCTCGAGGTCCATTTTCTTTCCCGTTTTTTCATCTGTGGAACTAAGGCGTTTCCTGATTCTTCTCTTCGCTTTTGGCTATTCCTAGACCTTTTGGCTTTATGCTCTTGCCTCAGAGCCATTTACATTCCCAGGGTAGATGGTACTGGACCTCTTGTCGATAGGCTCTGGCTCCCCAGTGTCTGCTCAGCATGGCCGGGAGCAGCAGCCCTGCCTGGGCGCACCTGGGAGCGGGACAGTGGCAGTCACTGGGAAGCAGTGACCTAGCGTCTCCTTCTAAGAGCCAGTAAGGAGCCTGTTTCATTTGTGGTTAACACTCCGTTTGCATTTTGTTTAGATGCTGGAGTCAGGCAAAGAACTAGGGAAGATGGCAGCATTTTCCCTGCCTGTCCACACTGGAAGTTTTCCTTGTCTGCAGACCTCGTCCACAGTCTGAAGGTGTGTCCGGAGAACAGAGCCCTGGTTCTGCATATCTCTTGCCTGTTTGGTGTGTCCCACATATTCTCTGGAGAGTCTTTCCTTACTCATATAGGCCAAGGGCAGGTTCGTCCCTTTTTTCCTAATTGAGTACCCCCGTGCCTCCCGGGGTAGGCCCTGAGACTGGGCTGTCAAGACCCTAGGGTCAGACATATGTATCGGTGACTGGCTTGCTGGGTGGCTGTCCGCTGCGGGCCTGGGCTTCCTGCGGGTTAGAACGTTCTGGGAGGTTTGCTGTCTTTGGGTGCTCTGAGGACAAACTTCAGCCATGCCTGAGACCGCCATCATCCCCACAGAAGTTTCCACGTGGGCGTTTGTCTTGAGGGGACTTCCAAAACTTTAATTTCTTCACTTTTCCTTGGACTAAGGCACAAATAACCCTTCTTCATCTTCCAGTTGTATGGCAGTTTCCAATTCTGGGCTCTGCTCGGAACTTAAAAATTGCCCTTTCAGAAGTGGGCTCTGAGTTCTGCCAGTTTGGGCAGACCCCTCCCCTCTCTCCCTCCGAATTCAGGGTGGTTCCTTCTCTGATCCCTTCCCAGGAGGATGAGGTAAAAGCCACTTAGGGATTTTGTCAGATGCATTAGGTTCTTCTCTTCAGTGCGGTCTCCCGCTTTCCCTTTGTCTTTCTGGCTTGGTCTACACAGTCTGCCTCGTCGTCTGGGGTCTGCTCGGCAGTAGGTCATCCGCTGCCCACGCCAGACTCCTTCCGCTCAGGTAAAGGGTTCTCAAGTGGGAAAACCTGTGGGCTCTGTGATATACCTCCCTTGAAGAAATGAAGAGATTGGTCAGTTTCTCGTCTCAGCGTTTATCTGTTAATGTTGATGTAAATAGCGCTCTGTACCTGTGGATGGCCATTCTCCTCCCCTGGCCCTCTGGCCCCCCACAGCCCACACACTCTGCCCTTCTGTTCTCTTAGCCACACAGCCCCAGGGCCCAGGATGGGGGAGAGTGCTCCTTGTATCAGTTAGCTGTTCCGTGGATTAAAATTTTTGGAAGGGGGTCGCTATTCTTCATACTTAAAAGTATTTATTTTCTCTGTAGAAAATAAAATATAACCCATGGTCCACACAGGAAACATACAAATGAGTTTTTGTAAATTTGCTAGCAGAGTAGGGACCAAGCTGTGTTCCCTTTAAGGCACCATTAACAAGATCCGCACCTGTTTTGGGTGGTCGGCGCAGGTGTTGATACAGAATATTTTCCTACCTCACGTCATGACAGTCAGGGTTACAGACCTTCTTCCTAAACTGCAACTTTCCCTTCCTGCCATTGGCCTCTCTGACTCCAGTGGCCCCTGGCCTGGAAAGAGTGGCCTTTGGACCACTGGCCTGGCTGTGTACCCGTTAGCCCGTTCGTTCGGCAGATGTGAATGACTCCCAGGTGCCAGCAGTGCCAGCTCCGCTCTCTTCCCTCCCACCACGTGCGGATTTCCCGATGCCCATATATTGTACTTGCTGGCTCGCCTTTCCCTTTGGCCCTGAGATAACCCTTCCTGGAAGATGGTGCAGTGTGTATTCACAGCTCTTTTCACAGAGCCATGGGTTTCCTTGTAAAAGCAATTCAGGGCTCTCCCGTGAACCCCGGTTGTCTTCCCAGAGCCTTGATGACGTCTGGGAGATTCGGCAGCGGTCTGGGTACCTGCCGGCTTGGATGCGTTTCAGTGGAATCTGTGTGGTGGGTTGAGGTGCATATTGGCTCAGTTGCATAGTAGGGCAGTTAAATGTTTAAGCAAGGCATCTGCCCACAGTCCCCTCTCCAGTCTAGTGCCTTCCTTGATCTTTTTACTGAACTGCTTGGAGTCCCTAATCCCCCTTGTTGTGAATTTTCTTGTCACCCTCGTGGGACCTGTCACCATCTCCCATTCCCTTTGGGACTTGTCCCCCAGTCCTTCAACGACCTTTGCAGCTAATTCTGTGTCCTAGAAGGGCTGGAGGTGTGATGGTTGGAGTGCTGGAGACCCAACATCAGGGTCCTGGTCTCTCCCAAGAGCCAGGCAGTAAACTAGATGGAACTCAGTCATTTCGCAGAAATGCCAGCCTTTCCCTCCCGGGGTAGGAAGCTCAGGACCCTAGAACTCTCATCAGGGTGCACACGTCAGCATGAAGGGGTCCTCGCAGCACTTTAACCTCAGCCTGTGTCGCAGTCTTTCTTTACAAATGCATCAAGCCATTTGTGCATGGCGGAGGGTGCATAGGGAAAGGAGGTCACAATCTTGTATTTTTGTCCTGTTTAGGAATCCAGGCTAAAGAAAGGAGAGAATCCTCCGGATGCAGGGTATTTCACAGACCCCAGCATGGGAAGCGCATTGGGTTCTTGCATGGAGCTGGGACTTTTGGAATTTGGGCCTAGTCCTTTCTCCTGCTTGTCATGCCCCGGACTAGACACCCCATTGCCCAGGTCCACACCACCTCCCGGCTCTTGGGATCACCGTGCACAGCTTCCCAGTACCTCTTAACTCCTATTCTCAAGAAAAAATACAGTCAGCCCAGCATGTTGCTCGACTTTCTACCCTCATTGGTCAGCCTGGGAGCAGGGGGCGGGGGGGGGGGGGGGGGGGGGGGCGGGGGTGTCCCCTTGGGGGGGGGTTGGGGTGGGGGGTGGGCTCTCTGAGAAGAGGCTTCAGACAGGATAAATACCTTAGAAGTATTTTAGTAGCAAAACTGCTGTCCTGCTGCCCACTCCCCAGCCTGCTTTTTTGAGAGTGGAAAGGCAGGACACAGGACCGTATCTGGACATTGAGGAAATTCTTGGGTTTCGCTTAATTTGGGTTTCTGGCATCTTTGTTGCTTTATTTCCTGGTTTAATTCCCTTTACCAGTCTTGGCATCCAAGATTTCTTACCTCCCTCTTCAGGACCAGTTTCTCCTGCTCCGGAGCTAGTCTGTTCTTGGGTGACATTTCTTCACCTTCATTCAATCTCAGGTTTTTAGCCTTCTTTCGTACTTAGAGAGCAGATCACAAATCCCACGGTCACCACCCATGGACTTCTGGGCTCTCAGGTTTTAGCGCTGAAAATATATTCATTCTGTGGGCCTGTGGTCCGCCCATGCCCCTCCCTGCCCGCCTCCTCACCCTTGCATTTGGTCTTTGCCGTGTGAGGAGAGCTCTGCACTAAGAGCCATGGGCAGGCCTTCTGAGGTACCCCAGAAGCTACTTCCCTGTAGCCAGCAAGAGTATCTGGTGGCTGGGACAGTTGCCAGGACAGAAGTCAGATGTAGATGTCAGCTCGGAGGAGTTTTGACTGAGAGCTCTTTAGACCAGAAACCCTTGTCTTCCCTGTCCCGCCGGCTTGCTTTGTGGTCCCGTATCAAAGCCTTTAATTTTTTGGATTTTGACACAACTGCTTCTGCTTGCCTAAGTGTTTTGATCTTACTTACCTCATCCTGGGGCCTGTCCCATGTTAGTAAGGCATTTCATAATTACTTGTAACTTTTTTAAACCGTTGGAGTCGTTTGGAATACACAGAAGTAACCTAGTAATCCAAAGATACACATTGAGGCACGTGATGAAGGGTGGGGTCATTAGCCTTTGCATTTGATACTCTGGACTCGGCTCCAGACTTAAGGACCAGAGGGACAGCAACGCCATGTGCCTCTGTCCAAGGAAATCTGGGTTGGTCTCAAAGGAGAGTACCAGTGTTTTTTGGTTCTAATAAGTAGCACCCCAATGAAGAGGTGGGGAGGTAGGGACGGAAAGAGCGAGCGCTGCGTGGAGGCTCGTTCACGTTCAGATGGGAAGGTCAGCCCTTCCGAAGTGCCAGCTGTTCACTCGGAGTAGCAGCTGTCTGCAGCTCTCCCTGCCCCTTCCCCTGGGTCGTGCTTGAGAAAAATGTGGCGGACCACTCCCTCTTTTTGTACAGGGCCAAGGCTGAAAGCCAAACTCCGCTCCTACTGATTAGGCAGCCAAACAGATGAGCAGAGCTGTGATCACCCGGCTCCGTATTCCTGACTTCTTCCTGCAGGGAACGAGAGAGGCACCTCTCCTTTGCCTCACAAGTTCTCCTTCCACCCCTGCACCAGACTGGGAGACCAGGTTGGGGGGCGGGGGTATGCTCAGGACAAGCCCCGTGTGACTCCTCAGGCCTGGCACTGCCTCCCTGCTCAGCCCCACCAGGGGGACGGGGCGGGGGTTTTAGGCGGGGTGGAGAGGATGGTGTGCAGGCCAGGCTGTGTGCCCCCACTCGGTGCCCTGAAGTCCGTGTGTGTCGCTCCCTCCTCCCTACCTACCTCTGACCCTGTTGTGGGTGAGGGTGGCCGTGCTCATGGCCGTCTGGAAACTGAAGAGGCAGAGACCTATTAAGGAATCTGTAGACCACATGTTTTCTCTTCCTTGGCTTCTTTCTTCTGCTGTCTGGGTAAGCCTGTAGGCACAGTGCCCGGGAGAGCGGATGCCTCCCGACCTGCCTGTCTCGGTGTCGTGGCCTTGACCTCCTGCTGAAACATGTGGTAGAGGCATGGCAGCTAAGAGGTACCGCCTACATGTGCTTTCTGGCTGTGGTGACTTGGGATTTTTAACCTTATATATCTTTTTCCTTTATTAAAAACAGAACAATTTTTAGCACACTGAAGAAAAAAAAAAAAAAAAAGCCAAACATTTTGTGCCTTTCTAAGGCAGCACTGTATCCCAGGCTGCATTTTAGGACTTAATATGGAAATACCAGAGTCTTAGCTCCTCTACCTTGAGTGTCAGTCCTTACAGTCTAGGAGGGAGGAGGAGACACTGTGTGGGGCTGGGGAGAGGGCACACAGGTGTGGTGGGGCAGCGGTCCCTTCCCCCTGCCCTGGTGGCTCTGTTGGAAGAAGCAAGCATTACCCTGGGATCATTTGGCTCCAATCAGAATCGTAGTTAGAGGTTGAATGCTGTGTCTCCAGCAGGAGGAGCGAGACTGTCCTGGGACTCCCAGGAGTGCTGTGGACCCTGCAGGTGTGCTAGCCTCCGGGTCCTGGGAAGGACCCAGCTTCGGGGAAGAGCGTAGGTTGGAGTCTGCTGACAATGGGAGGTAGTCTGTGTCTTTCTGCTGGATCCCAAACTGGCCTAGACCTCCTGCCTCTCCCTTGAGACATGGCTTTTCTTTTATTTGAAGATTTCGGTCTTAAAGCATTAAGCAGCCAGTGCCCTCGGTGGGGGCCAGTTTTCCCCTGGGAAAGGCAGCAAGGCCCACATGCCAGAGCCTGGCCTCAGGATCGTGGCCACTGTAGGTTTCAGCAAAGGAAAAAGAAAAAAATGTTTTCTTCATGGTATTTTACTTCTCCCTTTCCCTTTTCAATTCTTCCCTGCCTTTAACTAATAAGGAATTGGGGAAAGAATTCTTTTTCAAGTCCTCCCTCTTTAGGATTTTGACATTCTTGGCCTGGGTGGGGCTGAGGAGAACTCGATGCTTTCTCCAGAATAGAGTCCCAATTTGTATATCAGTGTTAAAAATAAGACAAAAACTTAGATGAGATTTTTGTGGACTATTTTAAAAAATGTGTCATTAATATAAAAAAATTTATATTAGCAGTATTTAATCATTCTCACCTGTAAAGAGTAAGAAAAACAGAAGGTAAATATTCTTACAGAGAAGAGCAGAGCTTTAAGATTCATTTTCGATTTTAAGTCCCTTTTGTTTTGCCAGTGTATTAATGTCTAGAGGTCTGTTATACTAATGTTATTTATTAATTTTTTTTCATTTCCATACACAGTTAACTAAAGAGCTTTTTCAAGCACCCATGTCTGTAAAAAAAAAAAATATTTTTAAATAAAGTTTCTTTTGTTGTAGCCGACTGGAGTTCTTGCTCTTCCACGGGGGTGGGAGAGCGACGGGCTCGGCCAGCCCCATCCTCACGGTGAGTCCACTGCTACCCCAAGGCGGGTCTGCGCAACGTGACAGAGTGAAGGGCCAACTCGGCCTGGCTGCTGCTGAGAAAGGCTGTGGTCCTCTGGGAGCTCGAGCCATTTGCTCAGAAACAGAGGTAACCCCTCATCCCCACTCCCAGATGCAAAGGTTTCGTGTTCCTTCTGGTGTGATGCCAGATCCCGGGGCCCCAGGCTGCAGTGGCAACGCGATGAATCAAAAATACTGTGAGGTTTCTGGGACAATTAAGCTTTATTTTTCATATATATATATATATATACACACACATATATATATAAAGGAAATTTGCAAATTTACAGACAACCTAACAAAACCACATATACATACACTCACACACGCACACAGATACCCATACACACCCCAAAGCTCCAGCCAAGCCCACCTCTTGTCCCTAAGTACCATTCTCCCGTGAGGGCCATTCTTGCCAAGACCTAAGCCCCTTAGCTCAGTTTGTAGAAGTTTGGTGCTAGTGTAATTATAGTCTTAATCCTCCTAAAGGACAGTCTGAACCTCATTTGTCCCCTAACCTTTCAGTCTGATATGACCCGCTGACTGGGCAATAGGAGCCAAACTTGGGGGTGGGGGCTGTTGGGCTCAATGGCCTAACTCTGGAGAAATGCCCAGCTTCCTCCCTGCAGGGACGAGATACACCCAGCACCTCTTAGGAAATGACACCATTCCCGGCTTCTGCCCCGAGAAAGGTGGGTCACAGTAGGACCTGAAGCATGCAGGCAGCTGCTTGTCATAAAGGCTGGGGAACTCTCTAGAACCGGCGTGAGAGGGGCTTGTGCTCCGTGAGTCCTCACTTCGGTGACACAACTGACCAATGAAGCCAGCCTTTGGGGCAGGAACCAGACAAACAGGCTGCCTCATCCGGCTGCGGCAGAAGACAGGTATGTGCGTCCATGATCTACATACAGAGAACGCGGTCTGCGAGACACTCTCTCCCACCCCCAGGATGCCGAGGCCCCTCCCTGGGATAAGCATCACCCAAAAGAGTGAGCCGGTGGCAGGTTGATCCCCGACGAGGGCCCTCTGCGGTGGGGCCTGCAGGCCAGCTGGGGCAGGGGGCCTTCTCCACAGCCCGCTGTAGAGGCCTGGGTGGTCATCCTGAGCGCTGGGAGGGAGAGGGTGAGCAGAGAGCACAAAACGTTCCAGGCGGGAGGGGCACTCAGTGGGGTGAGTGGGCTAGTGCCTCAGATCGATGTATTTCTCTCCCTAGAAGCAGGTGAAGAGAACAGGTAAGGGGGGATGCGGCGGGGACAGGGACGGGAGCCTGAGGTGGTGAGCGCTGGAGGGACGAGGGACTGAAGCCAAAGCTGATGGACTAGGCGTGGAGGGAAGCAGCGGGAGGGGGTGGTGGGGCGGGGTGGGAGAGCCTAGGCCCCCGAACCGGACTGGCCACACTGCACCTGGTGACCTGAGCCACGGCACTGTTCAGGAAAGGTGGTGACGGAAAGTGTCTGCTCTCAGGCCTGGGAGCTACCCCTTCTCCGGGGTCCCTGGGCCACTCGCCTCACCCTACCATCTGGGACTAGTGTTAGGAAGCCAAGACGGGCCTGCTCCCAGTCTCCAACAGAGGAGGAGGAAGGGGGGAGACAGTTAGTGTTCGGGGACACGAGAGCCATCAGCCCCGGCTGCTCCTGATCCCTGAAGCTGGGTCAGGCGCTGGCCATGGGCAGTGCCTCCTACCTGGTCTCCGGGCGCCCTCTGGTCACGGCTGCTGCCCTGTAGGAGGCCCATCTCTTCTGGGAGCTTATCTGACTTAACTTCAACTACAAATTCGCTCTTACGAGACGGGGGCAGCGTGCTGGGAGGGAGGGAGGCAAGAAGTTGGCATCTCGGGCAAGGAAAGGGAGGCTCATTGAGAAAGACGTTGGACTGGGCGATGAGGTGCTCTGGGACTGGCTCAGGGAAGGGGAACAGGCGATGAATGGAGAGGAAGTGTGGGTGATGGCAGCTGGCCAGTGGGCAGGAAAGCGGGGAGCACTCACACCCAGTGTCCCCCTCCTGCTCCGAAGGGGTGATGGGGGAGGGGGGCGGGGGGGGGCAGGGAATGTCCCTGCCCAGGCGACATGCTGGGAAGGGCGCGATTGGGTGGGGGCGCAGGGTGCTGGGTACCCGGCTTACATCTCCTGCTTGCCTGACCGCCCACAAGGCAGCTTGCCCTTCTTGTAGAAGAAATAGAGGACAGCACCCAGCACAGCCAGGACCAGGACGCACACGGTCACAGCCACGATGGCCACGCCCTTGCTTTCAGGCTCTGGCAGCTTCTTCTCTGTCCCACAAAGATGCTCCGGGTCACTCCCAGCCCCAGGCAGCCCTGACGCCACCATGCCCCACCCCACCTCACCCCTCCACCCCACCCGGCCACAGCCCAGGACTGATGGAAGATGGGCCCCTGCTCACCTTTCTGAACAGGGTTCCCCCGGGGAAGGGTCAGGGCAGGAGGCGGCTGCCCGGCTACAGCTCTACTCTCGTGCCAGGACTGCTTACCTGTGGAGGTGCCGTTGGCTCGGACAGAGGGGCTGACAGTGGATGTGCTGAGGCCAGTGCTTCTGCTGGAGTCTGGTGAGTGGTGAAAGGGGTTGAGAGGGGGGTTAGGAAAAGCACATGCTCGTGCCCACACCTGCCATGCCGCAGGACGAGGCCCTTACCCAGCTCCAAGAAAATGGTGGTGGTGTTTCTGCCCAGGGTGTTGGAGGCCACGCACTCAGCACCTGTCCTCAACAGCTCTGGGGTCACAAGGACGCTCAGGACACTCAGGACGCTCTGTGGCTCTTGGTCTTGTTCATGTGCCTACAGGATGGGGACGCCGCTCAGGGAGGGGGGCGCGGGGAGGGTGCCCGTGGCCCGCAGCGGAGCCTCGGCAGGGGCGGTGGGCCTGCTCACCGTGCCCTCGACGCTCCAGGAGATGGTGGGCCGGGGATGTCCCGAGGCTTCGCAAGACAGATTCAACACTGCATTCTCCTGCACCCACATCCTCCTCTCCTTCTGTGTCATCCATGGGGACCCTTAGGGAGAGAGCGGTACGGGTGTGGCAGCAAACTCTGCCAGCCTGCCTCCCCGTCCCCACCGGAGCAGGCCAGGGCAGCAAGAGGAAGGCTTCCGTCCTGCAAGGAGCTTGAAACCACCCAGCCCCAGGGAGCGACAGGGGGTGGCCTGATCTCTGCCCCGAGGGCTTCTCACCAAAAACGGCCACGTGGACCAGCTGTGTGCGGTTCAGGCCGGGGACGCTGGGCACGGATGCCAAGCAGCGGTAGCCTCCCCCTGCCTCGCGTTTCAGGTCGTGTAACTGGAGCAGAGGCCCCCCCGTCAGCACCTGGCCTGTCTGGGGGTACAGATGGGTCAGGGCCTTGCTCCCAGCCCCACGCGGGCCGCAGCCCCAGACCCGCCAGGTACCTTTTCTCTCAGCCACTGGAACTGCACGGCTTGGTTGCTCTCCGCCTCACAGCTGAGGACGAGGCTGCCTCCCTCCTGGCTCTCCGGGGCTGCAGGGCTCACCCGCACAGCAGACACGTCTGGGGACAGAGCAGTGCTCTCAGCCTGGGTGGGGTGGGCCAAATTCCCTCTTGCCCCTCCCTGGTCCCCCCATCCCAGGCCCCCCGCCCCTCACAGTTCACCAGCAGCTCCTGTTGGTCGCTCAGCAGTGATGCCATGGTTTCCAAGTCCAGGCCCTGACACTGATAGAGGCCACTGTGCTCCTTCTGGGCAGACTCCAAGACCAGGACCCCGTTGTCTTCGGGCGTCATCTCCTCCACCTCCTTGGTGCTGAGGTTCTGGGGAAGAGCAGAGAGATGAGCCGAGTGCGCCTCCAGCCACCGCGGTGCCCCCCCCCCGCCCCCGTCCCTAGCGCGGCGCCCTCCGCACCTGCTTGCTGATGGTGAAGTGCGGCGGGGGGTTGCCGTCCGCCAGACACCTGATTTCCACGCGGTCCCCTTCCTTCAGTGCTCCCACGGGCTCCACCTCCAGCCACACCTTCTCCGCCGGGTCTGAAGAAGCACAGGGGCCAGCCCTCAGCCTCAGAGCCGTCCCCACACTGGGGAGCTGGCTGGGGCGGCCACCAGCCTCGGCCCAGGGCCGCGCTGGGACTCACAGAAAACCTGGACGCTGACTTCCCGAGACTCCTTCATGTGGTTGCCGCTGGGCAGCCGGTAGCTGAGCTCACAGTAAAACAGGGCGTCCTTGTCTGCGGTCACCAGCTGGGCCTTCAGAATGCTCACCAAGGTGTACAGACCGCTCGACTCCACGATCTGGGACGACTGAATATAAACCCCTAGTGGGGCGGAGAAGGGGGGGAGAAGAGCTCAGCCTTGGCCCTGCCTCCAGCCCGGGGTCCCCTGGGATTCTCTGGGGGGGGGGGGCACCTGGAGAGGGACCCCTGCCCGCCCCTGCGACCCTTCAGCTCAGCGGTTCTGTGTATCTCGGCATCTAGCTATGCCACCGACACCCGCGCACACACAGGGACGGGGTGCCACACTCCAGATGTCCACCAGCTGGGGACCCCCCCTCCACCATCCCCATGGTAGGCGATCCTGCGGGGGGTGGGGGCACAGAACCATCAGGTCCAGCCACGCAGGCTATGCTGGAAAGACTTCCAGGACTGACCGTCCAAAGAAAAATTACCGTGTGGCGACGTATGCCACACTGAGCCACTGAGGTCAGGGCTGCTCAACCTCAGTGCGACCTTAGGTGGGGGTAGAGGGCTGCCCCGAGTACTCTGGGGTGTTTAGCAGCAGCTCCCCTCGGCCTCCCCCCACTAGGTGCCTGTAGCCCCTCTCCATTCACGACAACCAAAAATATCCCCAGATGTGGCTGAGTGTCCCGGAGGGGGAGCAGCTGTGTCCCTGGTCAAGAACCACTGCTTCAGCTGATAAAACAATAAAGCCTTCGTGTGCCCAAGATGTATTTCTGTGTGTAAGTACCCCGAAACTGGCTGGAAAGAACAAACACTGACAGCAGACATGACTTCTGAGACGGGACCGGGGGACCCGGGGCAGGAAGGGAATTTTCCTTCTAGATCTAAAGTGCAGTTTAAAATCTCGTGAAAAGATTTTCAGGCATCACTTGCGAATTGAAGCAAACAAAGAACAAGGACGGGGGTGGGCCCAGTGCGGTGCCATCAGCATGGCTTCTGAGGGCTCAGAGGGCGACTCACGGTCCTTCTCCTCCTTCAGGGAGTGGCCATTCTTATACCAGATGACTTGAGGAAGGGGGTACCCATTTCTCCCTACACAGGTAGCCACCTGAGGAGGACAGGGTGTGAGTCTCCCTGCATCGGAGGGAGGTCCCCCCCAAACTCCCCCCAACCCCCAGGCTCCTGCTTCCCACCTGGCCAATCTCACCTCCTCAGGCTCCTTACTGCTGACCGAGATGCCCAAGGGATTCACCTGGATGGTCGGCTCCTCCGGGGCTTCTACAAGAGAAGGAAACGAGGGGCCGAAACCTCCACCACGGGCCACCCGCACGGGCCACCCGCACGGCCCACAAAGCCCGGCGCGGCACTCACTGTAGACGCGGAGTTGGATGCGGTGCTCCTGGGACTGGGGGCGCTTGACCTGGCACAGGAAGATACGCTCATCGTGGGGGGTGACATGGCTCAGGACCAGCGCGGTCCCTCTGTCTTGCAGGCTGAGCCGCTGCTGGTACTCGCCAGGTTCACTCTGGCCCTGGCCCTTGCGCACGCGGAAGATGAGCGTCGGCTTCTCCTTGTGCACCTGAGGGCCGGTGTGCGAGGGGACGTGAGGGTCCCCTGCAGGAGGGGTACAGCCTCCCGCCACCCCAACATGCTCTCCAGGGCCGCGCACTCACAGAAAACCAGTCCACGTGGCTGAAGTTGCTCTGGGAGTGGGAGGGGCCGCACGCCAGAAGCGCCGTGCCGCCCACTTCCGCCTCCACCAGCTCCGGGGCAGGGGGCTCCGCCTCTCCCGGCACACCTGGGGGCGGAGGAGGGGCCGTCCCAGCCCTAGGTCAACTCCAGCTGCTCTCCACGCCCTCCCCTCACACCCTCTATCTTGCAGCTGTTCCCCCTGCCACTTGGAAGGGTCCGGAGGGGGCTCTGGCTTCCTAACCTTCAATCCCTCTATCTACCTGCTGCCCCAGGCAGCCCAGCCCGTTCGGGGGAGCTGAAGGTCACTGCCTCTGGTCATTGCAGCTGAGACCCTGAGCACCAAGCATCTTCCAGATGAGGCTGACAGAGGGGCAACCCAGGCTCTGGGCCAAGAGGAAGGCCCTTTTCCTTCCAGGCTCCCACCCCTTCCAGTGAGCTCAGAGTATGGGAATGCAAGGCATGTGCCAGCCTGCGCCACACAGGCCCCTTTGTGTCCCCATGCCGAGGGGAAGACATCGCTACTCTGCCCCCCAAAGAGCCCTCCCCAAATTTCCTGCAAGACCCAGTGGGCCAAACCTGGCCAGAAGCTCCCATCACATGCTCCCTAAGCAGTACCTCTGTGAACATCCCACAAGCTCAGATGACCCCATCCTGGGAGTATTGTGAGCATGGAGGGGTCAGAATCTCCCCCAGGGGTCAGGCCAAGGGCCAGGCAATGGGCAAGAGTGACGTCAGTGGTGCCGCGTGCTGCCTGCCCTGTGAGGAGATGATGTCACTCACTACCATCTGGCCGGCCTCTGGGGTGCCGTGGCTGTTGCCCTGGGCTGGCTCCCGGACAGGGAGGGCAGATGGAGTGGTCTGCAACCAGGAGAAGCCTCGGATCCCTGACTGCGTTTCCCCAGAGCTAAAGGAGCAGGGCGGGGTGGGGCTAGATCTGCTGCTGCGGGGGAGCCCAGTTTAGCCCTTTCCCCAGAAACACAGCTTGGGAGCCAGCAGCCGGGCGAGGGGGGTACCCCAGGGACACTGTAGGCACTGGGCATGAGGCCAGTGAGCTGGGTACTGCCTAGCCCTTCCCTTCCCCAGCCGGACAGCGGCTGGGACCCGGGAAAAGAAGCCAAGAGAAACACGCGACACCGCTGCAGGCCATACAAGGGCAGCGTGCACCCGGGAGCGCCAGGCTCCCAGGCAGTTCCAGAAAGAAACTCCGAGGTGCAGGGGCGCTCTTCCCACCTGAATGTGCTCCCATTCCGGGAGACGTAACGGATCTGGGGCGCTTCCACTCAGGGCACCCTCAATCCCTCGTTTCTGCCTCCTGTGATCCGTCACCCGGGTAGACACGAGGCGACCCACGCCGTCCCCCAGCTCCTGCCAACGCCCTGCTCCGGCGGGAGCCGCCATCCCTCCCCTCCCTCGCTCACCTCTAACCTGGCTCAAAGCCCAGGCGGGAGAGGAGGCGTCCGCACACCCCTTCCCAATAAGCAAGCTGCCTTTTTCCAGCAACAGGCGGGCGCAGAATTCGGGATTTGGAGATGCGCTCCAGCTGCGCCTGCCGCGGCCGCTTCAGCCTCGCGGCCCCCAGAGCCCGCACCTGAGGCAGAGCTCTCCCCAGCCCCCCGAGAGGCTCGGCCCCACCCCTTCCCGCTCCGGGCGGCAGCCTCCTCCCCGCCTCCCCGGTCGTCCTCCCGGGATACTCCAGACTCCAGGCTGCAAACTGGCTGCAAAGAAGAGTTGCACGCGCGCAAGGCACCCGGGCGCCGGCGAGAAGCGCACGCCGGAGCGCAGAGCCCCGCACCGCGCTGCCAGCTCCGCCGCCCGGCACGCCCCGCCGAAGACCTCCCACTGCCTGGCCCGGGCCGTTCGGGGCGCGGGGCCCCCCTCCGAAGTCACTCACCCGCGGCGCGGCGACTGCAGTAGCAGGCAGCGAGCAGGAGGGCGCAGACCAGCCCGGACCGCTCCATGCTTCCCGGCCGGAGGGCGAGCGCCTAGTGAGCTAGCGGCCGGCGGCCGGGGGCTGACGTCAGGGGGGCGGGGGAGGGGGCCCGGCCCGCCCCGCCCCGCGCAGCCCCCCGCCCCCGCCGCCGCGCCGTGGGGGCGGGCCCGGAGCTGCGCCTGGCCGCTTGGCCCCTACTAGGCCGGGCGGGCTGCCCAGCTCCCGAGGCGCCCCCCACCCCGCCCACCCCGGGCTTGGGTCGGCCGAGGGGGCAGTGACAGGTGTCTCGAGGCCCGGCCGGCTGGCCGAGGCGGCGGCGAGGAGAGGCTGGCTAGGATGCCCAGAGTCACGCCGGGTCAGAACCAGGCGTGCTCACCCCAGCTCAGCCCCTGGCAGCCTGTGTGGCCCTGGCGGGCCGCGGGGCGGAGAAGCAGCAGACCGGGGCCGCCTCTTCCCGCCGCCGCCCCGCCGGACCCCTGCCACAGAGAAACTGGCCGGCCTCGGTCGCTTCCGAGAACGATTGCACCACTGCGGCTGCCGCCGCGCTGGCACTGTCCCCCAGCCTCGCACACTCCCAGCCTCGCAGTGCCGGCAGCTTTGAGGGAAGAACCCCGGGCCGGGTGCCACAGACCCAAGGCACCTGTCGTGGGGAGTGCAGGTGGTGCCTTACGGGCTGCTCCCGCAAACCCCAGCTCCCTCAAGTCCCGAGTAGCCGGAGAGGAAAGGGGTTGGATTCACAGGCCCAGGGTTTTCACACTTTTCCACGTCCAGACCTTGCAAATCCTGTTTTTGCCCTCTTCACTCCATGACCCTAGCGGGGACTCAGTCTCCTCTCACCCGAATGAAGAAAAGAGGGGGAAGGAAGGGTAAACGGGTGTGAGGTCTCTGGCTTGGCCCCTGAAAACCTGTTGCTGTCCAGATGGTTGAGAGGACCCCCTGCAGCAGGGCTCCCCGCACACCCCGTGTCCCCCCCACTGGTGATGGTGGCTCAGCAGCTGGGGGTGGAAGCAGGGAGGGGGGAATTGGAGCTGGTTGCAGGCACCGCTCTGCATAGCAAGCTCCCCCTCTTCCCAAACCTGGGTCTTCTGGTCTCTTGAACTAAGGCCCTGGGGAGTGGGATGGGCCCTTGCCTCTCAGAGACCCCAGCATCACATCTGTGGCGGCTCCTTCAGCAGGAGGGTCAAATAGAGGTCTGGATTTGGGGTGGAGGCCTGTCTCCTGGCAGGGCAGCCTTTCTGCGGGGTGGGGGAGGAGCAGCGTGAGGCAGCAAACGCTGGACACGGAGACGGGCAGGTGACTTGAGAGAAGGCTCTGGGGTGGTATTTTGATGACGCAGAGATGACTGGCAAACCACATCTGAACCTTGCTGACCCCTCCTCTCTCTTCGTCAGTCTCCAGCCAGAGGCAATGCCAAGCCAGCCAGGGCAGGGACCTGGAGCCCGGAGCCTGCAGGGAGAGGACCATGGCTCCCCAGCCCCCGGAGTGAACGTATGGACTGGCCCAGGGCCCAGGGCCCAGAGTGGAATGGAGGAGTTTGTTTGTCTACAGGCGCAGGAGTAGGAATGGCTGAAGGATGCTGTGTGCCCTGGCCAGCCAGAGCTGGGCATGGAGCTCTGCTTCCCTGCCCCCACTCCCTTCCCTTCACTTAACACCATTAACTAATCATTCTCCTCTCCGCCTGGAAACAAAGCCCGCGAGCCACCAAGGACAGTCAGTTCGGAATTCGTCTTCAGCCAGGTGGGGGCGGAGGAGCTGTCTCTGCGGTGAAGGGGAAATGAGGTTAGAGCCCCGGGGTGACATCCTCTCCCAGTGTGGCCCCACCAAGCAAGCCTGAGGACTGTCCTTTCAGGAAGCCGGGAGCCTGGGGAGACATGGGCCTGCCAGCTAGTGGGCAGTGGAGGTCTGGGGGCAGGCAGCTTGGGAGGACGGCTTCCTGAGGGGAGCACTTTTGGGATTCCAAACCAAAGAGAGATCAGGACTTTGGAGAGGATTCAGAGGGGTCTGGAAGAAGGAGGAAAGGGCAGTGAGGGCAGGAGAATGGGTAGAGGGAACAGAAGCTTGTGGAGAGTATCAGCCCGCTGGTTCCTTGAAGATACCAGAAGACAGGGCAGCAGCAATAGCCTGGAAGAGAAAGGCAGCAGAGGAAGAACTTTCAGGGACAGGACTGCAACCCAGCTGAAGTGGGGTGATTGATGAGCCTCCCTGAAGCAGAGACTCTGGCACCTGGGCTGGGTTGGAAGCAGTGTTGCCTGGATGTAGGCCAAGATGAAAAGGAGAGATCCTGGGCCAGAGTCCTAATTCTTTGTCTGTTTCTCTCCAGAAAGAAGGGGTAGGGGGCGCCTGGGTGGCTCAGTGGGTTAAGCCTCTGCCTTTGGCTCAGGTCATGATTCCAGGGTTCTGGGATCGAGCCCTGCATCGGGCTCTCTGCTCAGCGGCCAGCCTGCTTCCTCCTCTTTCTCTGCCTGTCTTTCTGCCTACTTGTGATCTCTGTCTGCCAAGTAAATAAATAAAATCTTTTAAAAGAAAGAAAGAAAGAAAGAAAGAAAGAAAGAAGGCAGGCTGCTTTCCTCCACCCCCGTGGTAGACCCATCGTACACAGAGATAAGGGGACCCCTGTGTGGCATGTCCTCTGTGTAGCGTCTCTGGCATAGGTCTGATCACAGGCAGAGAAACTGAGGCTGGGTGGGCTGGTGGCCATGGTTTTGGTCTTTAGGGTGGTGGGGCTTTCATTTGGGTGTGAGGAAAAGTGGGAAGAGAGCAGCCCCAGCCACCGTGGAGGGGGAGGTAAAAAGAAAAGGATGGGCCTGCCCCCAGGGGCCACTGGGGCCAGGTTCTAACCTAGGAGTCCTCCCTTAGATCCTCTCTCAGCTCCAGCATAGTGGGCACGGTGGCCTCCCACACCCCTCTGGCCCAGGGGCTTGACCAGGAGGAAGATACAAGAAAGGCTGCTGAGCTGGGCGGAGGAAGGAAGCTAATAAAGACATTGCAGCTGCAGTGAGGAAGGAACAGAGGGTGGAGGGGGGAGGCCCAGCAACCTTGGCAATTAAGGAGGCTGGGGAACCCCCTGGCCTGGCCAGAAAATAGAGACCATTTTGAGTCTTTGAAGGAGAGGGGAGAGCAGCTTTCCAGAATGGGGGTCTGACGTGGGAGGAGCTGTGGAAAACAGGGTGGGAGGAGGGTGGGGGGCAATTGTTGTCGAGGGCATCATCAGGCCAGGAAACCGGATACTGGGGGGCTGGGTTGGAAGATGTGGGGGAAGAGATTGAATGGGGGGAAGCAGCCCCTATCCTGGCCGGACGCTGTCTCACCCATGCCCTTTGCACCTGACCCAGGGCAGGAGGAAGGAGGTGCAGCATGGACTGAGGTGCGCCCCAGAAACACAGGGGAAGAGGAGGAGGGTGACTTGGGGGGGGGGGGGGGGGCTATTTTTAAACTTGGAAAAACCTTGAGTGAGTTCATCTCCACCCTAAGTACTGGAGGCGGCAAAGGGCCCATTGTACAGGGGTCCAGAGAAGGGGGGCGGGGAGGGGGTGAGTGGCACAATGGCAAGAATTATGTTGGAGTAGGCCGGCCAGCATGGGGTGGGGGAGGGGACTCCTCGTCACAGCTGGCCTACTGAACTGTGGGGTCCAGTGGGGGTTGGGGGGGTGGTTCCACTGTCACAAAGCCCCCTGGGGGGGGGGGGGCTGGGTCTCTGGCATCCGGGGGTCCATCCTGGGGAGGGGGCTGTGGGTGGGATTCCCACAGTCTGACTTTCCCAGGGACAGCGGGGCCTGTTCCCAGGCTCCCAGCATTCCAGCGACTCCCCTGGGAGCTAATGGCCTCTCTTCTCAGCCCCTTCTCTGCCCGGGGGTTGGGGGAGAGAAGGAGAAAGAGGATGTGGATGCGTAGGGACTCTTTCTGGGCACTAGGGACTCTTAAGCCAGAGGGAGAGGACCACCCTTACATCCTAGTCCCCAACCCTGCTAAGGCCTCAGAATGGTGACTGTCCTTGTCCCCTCCGACCCCAGGCGCCTCTCCACGTTGGCAGTCCTCCAGCACCCAGACCTCAGCCTGGGGGGGATTCCGCCGGGAGTCCCAGGAGCCCTGATCGCGGGGTCTCGCCCAGCGGGGGCCGCGGTGGGCGGGGCATCCGGCGCCGCTCACACCAACCCAAACATTACCTTAAATGCTCAGGCTGCTGCCGCGGGCCGGGGAGGGGCTCGTCGGGGCCCTGGGGCTCTCCGGAAGCCCGGGATCTGTCTCCAGGCCTTTCCCAGCGCGGCCGGCAGCCGTGATTCAGTCCACTGGCCCCCCTTCTGGAAAGCAGCAGGGGGAGGGAGAATGGGGTTGCTGGTGTTGGGGAGAGAGCCCGGCTGCACTGGGAGTCCCTGGGGGCCGCTGCCTGGGCGCAGAGCGACCTTTGATCCAGAAAAGAGTAGGACCCTCCAGCCAGGATTTCAGCCTGTGAACAGGAGTGGGGGCTTCTGTTAGCCTAATGCACCCCCCCCAATCCTGGATCTCAGTTCTCTGGCTTCTGAGGGCCCGGCCACTTCCTCCTCCAACCCTAAATTTGGAGAAGGGAGCACGTTGGTGGGGTGGGGGAGAGGGCACAGGAGCAGGATGCCAGAGCCCACACCACTCCCCCTCTGGGAAGTTCACATCCGTTCCCCAAAATACCACCACCCAGAATGTCCCCAGAGAGCTGTTTAAGTCTGACTTGGAGTTGTCCCTGAGGAAAGGCCAGCTCCTCCATTGCAGAGAGGCCTAAGAGGAACCCAGGCTCACCACCTAGGGGCTCCTGGCCCTCTCCTCCCTGACGTCCACTTCTGCATTGTTTTCCTTTCCACACAGAGCTCTGAGCGCCCAGGTGGGGACCTATAGTTGCTATAGCTCACCTTGGAGGCAGGGAGGGAGGAGGAAAGACAGAAGGGAGGCAAGCCTGGGGCCTGCTCCGGGCCTCCCTGTACCACATCCCTGTAGCTAGGGCTTCCGGTGGCAAGATTATGGAATTTGGAGTCAGGAAAAAGCCCACACTGGTAAGACCCTGGCACCTTCCCTTCGCCTCCCTGGGGCCCGGAGCAGGCCCCAGGCTTGCCTCCCTTCTGTCTTTCCTCCTC